CGGACTTAACGGTATTGGCAGTAACACGAAATAGGAACTGAGAAGAAATGTCGAAGCTGTGATTTAATGAAATCGGACGGTGTCCATTTTTTTCTGCGACATCCCTAACTGACGTGCAGATATATACAAATTTATGCATACAATGGATTATAGTTACGACGCTATCACCAATAAACTTATTAATAATAACCACCAAGAAGTAGCCTGATCAAGTTAGGTGAAATTTATTCGCGTTCGCCAATGAAACTTGGTACGGGCTCGAATCTCAGCATAGGGATTGCTTCGTCTTGTGCTGTGAATCAGCCGTCTACGGGAAGACCGATTTAAGTAGTTGACATGAGGGTCGGAACGGTTAGCTAAATCAGATTGGGTTATAGCGACGGTATCGTCTTTTTCTTTTTATACAGAGTCGTGCCAAGTCATGCCAAGTTCTAACTACAGACTTGTGTGTATTGATTGCATAGCATAAGTAACGTCAATATTTATATCGTTTCGCATATATAACATTAATTTAATCGAATCGGATACGTTGCTAAAAGGTATTTGGAAAGGCCTTTCGCTTTTCTTCTTTCTATTGCACATTTTGCTGACCAGAACGCCAAAGTGGGACTTTAGGCTGAATACAAATTCTGTTGGGCTTTCTTATGAGCTCTAAACAGCAATTCTGACGTTCAATGCGACAATGGCATTGGAGGGCGCTAGCCGTGATTGGCCTGGGGCGACTGCCCCCGTCTCCTACAGCAAACTTTTAATCGACAGGGTTGGATTCTTAAGATGCTACGTGATAAAGGCGACTGCCGTCGTAGTGAGGGGGTCAGTGACCTGTTGTCTGGCGTAGCCGCGCGATTCTGGCAACGACTACGAGGGCCAAAAGCTCTATTGAATCTGCGATGCCTCTATTTGTCGCCTTTGCCGCCTCATGGACAAGGCCCAAGCCAGACAGGACAGGGAAAAAGCAGCAGGAAACGATGATGGCATTTACCTTATGGCTGAATCATCGATAGACAATATACTCCAATCAAGTGGATACAAACAGTCTGTTCACGGTTCCCCGATTTGAAACGCTACGCGTACTCCTAAGTAGAGATCACAGTAATCACCGCTGAAGGAAAAGTGCTGGAGCAACGGCAGGGTCAATCTGAAATCGGTGTTAAATAATATTAGTCTATGACCAATAGTGTGATATAAAGCAAAGTTTCGAGGTCAACGATCCAATCCGGAGATCGTGGAGCGCTCTCGTTTAGTAAGTTCAATCAAGGAAAAAGGCGCGACGGACCATTGAAAAAAGTAACCAAAACTGGCTAACTTCAAACATTCTAAATCAAGTTACGAAAATAAACGAGGAAGTTATTTCAGTTCGGAGCGACATAAATTCACAGTATACAACAGAAATCTAAATGTAACACTGCATATTTTCCTACAGGTCCTAGGACTGTAGACGTTAGGCTACAGCTGGACGACATTTCTGCCGTCTTACTATATAGACAGGCTGGTCCATCAATATCCATTGGGTTCAACTTGATTCATCTTCAACTTAGATTAACCGACGCCCTTCCTAACGAAGATTCTTTTAAGAGAAACTTCCACACCATTCTAATAGTGATAACCACTATTATGGTGTACTGATATTTCAATTCACTAAGCTGGTTACTACTATTTATCGTTCATCTTCGCGTACGACTAGCATGTAACTATGCAACACGGATATTTCGATTGGATTGACAAGGAAAAACTGAATACGATGCACTGGTTAAAACACGACAGACGTGTGCCATTATTTCCATTGCATATTAACATATTGCCTTCTATCTTAGCCGATATCCATTCAATTTGTTTGTGACGGGAAGGTGAGACGGTAATGTACGCGGGAACAAACGTCTAAATAGGCGTGCACACATACAGCCACGCACACCGCTAAGCGGATGATCGTTATTAAGGCGGCAACCAAACGAAGCGTTGTGCTTCGACTGTTTGAAACGAATGTCCATCAGCCCCGCCGTCGCAAGGTGCTCGCCGCCTTCGCTTATGGAAGCCTGTCTGGCCGTTGACGTCTTGTTTCCATCAATAAAGGGAGCAAAAGGAGTCAACGACGAGGCAAGACAGACGACACGACACGGCATCTGTGCGGCCTCGCCTAGGTCGGAGGCGTCCTTTCAGTCAAGAAGGTAACGTCAAGAATTTCATATTTTGGCATTGCTACATTTGATGCTGGAAGAAACATCGATAGAAACAATTTCTATAGTTTCATGTAGTTTTTAATCGTGTGAATCGTGCTTTTCATTGCGTTAGTATCGACTGAGCGCGATACAGGTAACACATGTCATTATCACATGAGACTGGATGGGATCCGATTACTCGACTGATCTCTGCAGCTGGCGGTAGGAGTAAGGAAAAGGGTTCGCGACTATCTCGGTGACTGAAACTACTTTCTTCTGTTGGTCTTAGCATCCTCCGCTTTCGGGACAACATTTGGCGACCCTCTACAGCAGCCACTGTCAACGGAAAGCGTCACCAAACGCCACGTATCGTTTCGAACAAATAGTCGTGAAGACTTCCTGCCGATTGCTATGCAGTATCATATGTACATTCAGCTTCGACCTTCCCCTGGAAGTAGTAGTATCTTCGCTAGATAAACGTGTGCCCGTCCATTGGGTCATTTACTTGGCCAATGTCTGTCTACCGGTGATGCGGCATTCGTTCGTGATTGTTAAGCAGCTATCCCTTGTCATCGTCTGTCTGTGAGCCTTTCGAAATGGTGCAAAATGTTAACATTGCATTGAATTGTCAAGTTGCATGAGAATAATTTCGACAAAAAATAGCTGATGGCATTTGTTTAAGTTTCTGGGACTATTAGTTTTCTACCTACCAGCCAGCAACTATACCATGATGAATAAGTCCTCTCAAGGTCGAAGCTCGCCTCTCTATATACGAATATAGTGAAGTGTATGTTACACAGTATGGCCATAGCTCGAGATCTGACGGTAATTTTTTTTTCTTCTTTTATTATAATAGATTCTTTCGCTGTCATTGTCGTCGCTATTGTCAAAATTTTTCACAATTATAATAATTCAACATTTAGATGTTTTAACTGAAGGAGCTCAAATTCTAGGTTGAAAGGGCAAAGACATAGAATGCGGGCGCCTGCGACTGATACTGGTGCCTCTCGCGATCCTTACACTTACGATTTCGCTTTGTGGCCTGTAATAGCTCGAAGGCAAACTGTTCCCTGCCTCGGTCGAACGCGTCACGGCAGCAGAAGCCGCGACCATGCGCCAGGCAAGGTGCGCTCGTATATTTGGATGCGGTAACTGCGTGTGTGTACTGCTAGCATAAGTTTTAACTCAACGCTATCGAGGAGTAGAGGGAGCAACGGATGGTCACACAGCGGAGAAACCCGACGGCTGAATTGCAGCAGCAGCAGCCCAGGGCTACAACAGATGAGTGGAAGGAGGCCCCAAAGCCCCTTCGTAGAGGCCATTCACCTTTTCACGACCGTCGTCGACTGAGCACGTCGTTCGTTTAAGAGTAATGCTGCCACTGTTAATACTACAGCTGGCGGTGATGCTGGTGGGTATGCCTGAGGGTCGTCACATTGGACGACTACAAGAACAAGCCAGCACAAAATCCAACACAGTACAAAATAACCGAATCATCGCCATATTCCGGCCGCTCGAGCAGCGGCGAGAAATTGTAGCGAGCGGAGCGGGACTATAGCCACCTGTGACTAGAGCAGCCCGGCAAGTAGCTAGCACAGCTCCAACGACGATCGATACTGATAGAACAAAAAAACCTCTACAAACAATTTACATAAACAAAGCATATCGTAATCAATAATTATCAATAATCATATGAACCCCTACCGAGTAAGCTCTTTCAAATGAACGTCAAAACTACCACATATATATATATATACACACACTATATATATATATGAAAAAATCTCTAAAGATATTCTGTCCGTTACTTAGGGTATGTGCTTCAAACCAATTTCGGATTCCTCGCTTCGTGCTATATACTTTTAATAGTATCCTTTTTCAAACATCATCCCAACGTTTTGGCAGGTGACGAACGGAACCTGCCAAAACGTTGGAACCTGTTTGGAAACGTACGAGAGTTCAGCACCGTAAAGATAGACCCTAAAATATGTATGATATGATCGAGAATTTTGAAGGTCACCCCGAATTTAAAGCTTGAGACTAAGAGTACTATATTTATGCAACGAATATTTGTTGTTGTTGTTGTTGTTTTCATACGAAGTAGGCTTTTATTGTTTAGATCCTTTTAAAGCGTTTCCCTAACACCTGCTACTTTCTTTACAATTGGTTTATATTTACTTGTTCTTACATTTGATGCCCTTATACATTGTTAAGATCATTGTTGCCTGATGTTATTCACAAAGTTCTACAGAGCATGACATAACTGATGATATTAAAACAATCAATACAGCCTTTTATAGTTATAGCAATCTGATGAACGAAGTCAGGTACCAAAGACGCTACGGGAGGCATAAAGGTTCAATTTCACTTTCTGCCCGCTACTACTACCATGCGCGCGCGTGGCGATGACGCGCACCAGCGCCACACGACTGGAACGACGCGATAGGCGAAAGCTGTTCGCGCTCAAACTGACTACGGCTGCAGCGCCACCTATCCAACCGTGCAGGTACCGTCACTGTTATTATGCCACCCCATGCCCTCGCTCCGTTAGCACTTCTTCACGACAAAACAACAACAGTAATAGATGATATATACAGCCTGTACGGAGCTGCTTGCTGAACGAGATCAGTCTCGCTAAGGACTACGTAAAGTTAATTCGTGACATTTAGAACACTATGAATCGAAGCAACATATTCAAACAAACCTACTGGTGGAAAGTGGACAATAGGAAAAGAAGCTCTTGAGGTTAGAACTTGTGCTTAGTCATTACACGGTTGCAAGTCGACAAGATGTACGTCCACCCGAGAAGCTGGCACGCGGCTCTTCCATAAAGTGAATATCTTATATGATGTTTCCCCTTACCTCTCTGAAGATTACAATATAATCTTATCCAATTGCATTAGCTTCGCTCGCTGGAAAACCTAGGGTTTACAGACAGGCCTGATTATCTCGTACTTTGGGCAGGTGGAGATTATGCTAGCGGTTTTTTTTGGCTGCAAGAAAAACGCTTGGCTAACATAAGAATTGGACCTGATCAGCCAGTTTGAATACGCTATGATAATAGCTGCCCCTTTCTCCTAAATAATTAAATCAATGCTATATTATCATATTTACTTAAAATATGGCTTAGTTTTAGCACAAATCAGTCCACTATGCAGATCTGTGTGTTGCATGCAGAAGTAAAATTTATTATTACATAACTATCTCGTGACCCAAAGGCGTTGCGATAGAATATTTAACGGATGTATTTGCCGACTCCAGCGCCTCTTATAACTCAGCCTCGATTCTTGATACGGGTGTTGTTGTTGTTGTTGTTGTTGATATCGTTAACATCTGTAACCGGCGGTATGAGGAAATGACTTTAAATTAGAAATAATTAGTTCTCATTGAGAAAAGCACTGTTAGTTCATTCTCGCTTAAAATCGTTGGTAATATATCTGCAAAGCTCCAACTACGTGTCTACAATTTATATTTATTTTAAACATTGCCCGCGTTAATAGTTTTACCCATAATAACTACCCGTTGGGGTAAAGCGCAGAGTAGTCTAAAAATGCAACCCTAGAAGTTTTTTTTATCGGTTGTAAGATAATATTGCGTGAAAACCTGTATTAGGCGCATCACGTTATTACGTGATTCGGCAGTTAAAGCAAACGTGCAGCCATATGATCCGTGACCTATTGGCCATCGTCAGTTCCTTGTTAAGGCCAATAACGAGAGGACTGTAAGATATGCTGTAACAATCAGCCTGCTAAGCTCTATGCATCCCTATGCCGAGGGCCTGTGGCGGACACAGGCGCTACCAGCCAGAGGAACGCTGGTGATGAACGGTCACTGACCTTCTCGGCTGCTGCTACGCTTCTCGTGTGATGAAGGCTTTGTCGGTGCCTGTGTGAAGGATTGAGCTCACTCGACAACGGCTGCCACGAGGCACTATGAGCTATAACCTAACTCGACTGCCATGTTGAATGTCAGGCAATATTGGCTACAACACTTCAACAGCTATAACAGCTCGAATAACAAAAACCAACTAATAGGAAAGAGCTACAATAACAATAACCAAGAGAACGTACAAATGTCTACTTTGATTTGGCATGAGAGACAAGGTAATGCAGCAGAACCCCGTTACGGCTATTGCCAGCTTGCCATAAAGCGACCATACCCAATGCTTGGCAGCCATTAGATGTTGACTTGGTTCTATCTCGATACTCGGTGGGCAGACAGGGAAGCTTAAATACACAATATCAATAAGAGGGCAAAGAACGATACTGAACGCTATGAAACAAAAGCACAGATTACGTTTTAAATAATGCTCAGATTCAAGGACACACCGATAGCTGTTATTGTTGAAAAACCCGGCGTCATAATTCTGCTGCTTACTAGAATATGCTGACCTTAAAACAGAATTAGGCCCAAGGACAGAATAAAGGAGAGAAAGTCGCTAGCGAAAAAAAAACAATATATTCGCTTTCCGCTCCCCCTTCTCCCTATGAAAGCGGGCATCCGTATAAGCGCCTAACAACTTGGTTTTGGTCGATTTACATTGATGTGGTCATCTGCAAAACGCTGCAACAGCTTTGTGGCAATAATCAGGTAGGTCACAAGCTGGCCGCGAAAGTAATATGCAATTACAAATCATTGTCAGGCTCAATAAACGGCGCATATTCAAAGGTGCTTAGAATAATAAGTGCACTACATTTCATAAGTTGAGAATGGGGCAATAGGCAACCTATGCGAGATGGAGATCCTGGCTGGGGTTACAATGGCGACGATGACTAGTGACCTTGAAAGTTCTTTGTCGCAGACGGTGCTATTGGCGCAGTCGTCGTAAAGGTTCGTTGCTTAACTTGGTGTTAAGCGACGACATGGCGCAGCGGAGAGGGCAGTTGTTCGCGCAAGGAAAGGGATGGCGGCAGCTAACAACAATAACAACTACGGCAACAAGGACAGCGACGACAACATCGGGTGGCGGAGGAGGTGGAGGAGAAGGAGGAAACGGACGAGACGGAGAGAAGAAGCAGCAGCGCCAATGGAAAGAGGGTAGATTAATAATAGAAGGAGAGACCACGTGGTTCTTGAAAAATGGTCGTGCCTAACCTGCCATTAGGGTTTCGGCTATGTGCCCGCTGCTAAGCCTCCAGATCTGGCTGCAGATTACAAAAATTTTGTTTACTGATATTGATGTGCATATAGTTAACGAAAACAACAGTGTATCAGCCAGTCAGACGAACGCTGGCAGATCCGCTGTTAACAATTCTAACGACATCACAAGTCTAGCACTCAGTTATGATCTATTTAAAAGTCGTTACATGATGGGTACGCTAGTAGGTTGACGTTCAATGTTGCGCAGTGTAACAGCAATTCAATATGACGCTGGCGAATATTCCTCTAATAAAGAAAATAATTTAGTCGCTGATTCAAAGATACACTTCGCACAATATTTTTTTTTGTATCACTACATCTGTCAACTAATTTTTAACGGTAACCTTCGTATATTGCCAAATAAAGCTTTAAATTAGTTGGATACTTTTGCACTACCAGCGTCCTATTAACCGACGGCCTGCGCCATTACCTATCCGCCTGTTACTTTTATATTTTGATAGAGAAATATGCTGTGCCGTAGATTAAGTCAATAAAATTGCTGAAAACTACCTATGCAGAATGCCAATGAAACGTTAACAAAAATAAGTAAAAAATGTCAACATTTTCTATTAACTGAATGTTCCTAACTTAAACCTAACGAGATTAGAGCTATTTATCTTTTCCAGTCGATATATCTTTACATTTTTCGTTATACTTAGGGTCAGTAGCTATTCAGTTGATCGTGCCTATTCATAAATACGGTTGTACTCGATAAGCAATAAGTTGCAGCAGTGCTTTAGCCCGACTGATTATCCATTAGGGAAATAAATGAAAAAATTCCGTTTTCACCCTATAGGTTTTGAAACTATGAAATGAGTTAATTTGCATTTTTACTACTCGACTCTAGTTATTAAGAAGGCCCTATGTAAACCGGAAGGTTTCGGTTTGTTGACAAAATCTCAAGGTTCACTATGTGCTTCCTCTGGCAGGCTTAGTACTACATACTTTAGTACTATATAGTGCATTATTTGTACTTTATCAAAGGGGTTATCAATCGTACTTTAGTTGTATTTTTATGCTAGACTTTTCGTGATACCTGTGAATTTGGTATTATTCCTGTGTTCGCGTCTCGCGCGAATGCGCCTCTCACTGCTGTTTCCGTTAATGCATGTGGGCCTGTCAACTTGATTGTTTCACATACTCTTTTCAACATATTGACCTTCGTTGTACCTATGGCTTGCTAGGCTCGCACAAAAGAAGACCTGTGGTGTCGTCCACCAACTGCGGTTGCGTCGTTGAGATCTCGTTTCTAGTGACTTGACTTGACTTGACTTGACTTCGTAGTTGGCTAGTAATATTGGCCGTTCTGCTGTCACAATATACTAGACAATTCGGTAAGGTCGTTGGCCGCCTGCTCCCCTGCCTACAATATCAGATCTTTGCTGTTATTAGCTGAGGCTCTGGTCGATTTGTCGTAAGCTGTTCACCTTGCCGACATAAGACCCTATGCCCACCGGCGCCTAGTGCGACCTTGCTCCGGCCTCGTTTTCCTTCTCTTGTTTTTTTTTCATTTTTCGACTCGAAAAGTTCGCCGACGGGACCCACCAGTCCAGTGTGGATGAACATAACCAATATATATATATGTTTGTATGAGTTGTGTATGTAATATCACACGCACAGCCAGACTCAGACGAAAACAACTTACTCGTAGAAAAAGCTGAGATTGTAGATTTCATGATGCTTATACGCCCGATAAATAAAGAAACATATCTGGGCCTGTGATGGTGATTTGACGGTGACTTCTATTGTTGGTCACAACTCAGGCGAAACTGGTGAACCCATCGACAACAGCAGGCAAACGGACAAAACGAAAAAGTATTGCGGTGACAAAAGATTGTGGACGTGTATATATATATATATATATATATATATATCTGGACGCATTTAAAAGTCGCGTGTTCGTTGAGTTCACGGCTCTAGAAAAATTTATGGCTCTTTAGGAGGCGAAACACACAGGGCCCCAGCGTAAGAAGTTCAGGTCCACGGCCAAATAAATAATGACGATGAAAGCACTCAGTTTTTTGTCTCAGTATCATGGTTAAACGTGTGTTACTGTTTCGACAGTTATTTTGCCATAACTTTATGAGTTCATTTTGATAAGTGCATATAAAATTCAATTTGGTGCGTTTTTTGAGCGGCCTAGTTATAGAAGTGGCTTGGTAAGTGTCGTAGAAAATCCAGTTATTAATTTTGAAAACTATCTGTAGCTTTTTCATACGCAAGCAGTATAGCGCGTCCCCCCCGCCCCGCTGACATTCGAGCTTTATATTATATTTAATCAAGCTTTGTATATGTCTAAATATTAACAAATGCATTAAGAATTAAATATGTGTATTGGCGATGCATGACGTTTGTAGCAGGCAAACGATCACGTTACTCAGATAAAGTTTACAGGTTCATAGAATATAACTATAGTGAGACTGTGTCCTGTGGATAAAGACTATGACCGTCTCGGCTAGTCCCTTAATAAGTAAGCATAGACGTATCCAAGCTAAGTTTACAGGTAGTCCATTGTAATAGCTACCTGTTTCTCGCCCAGTTTGCTCAGTCATAGCGGTCGACGGCTCATCTGTAAAATCACAATGCTGCTGTTCGTATGGTCGAGCTCTGGGTGTGATGGCTACTCGTGAATAGAGCCTCCTAATCTTTGTCGAATTCGGCGAGTTATAGGGAATTGTTTTCGACAGGCGCAGCTGCGCCACAACGGCTCACAGCGCCACCTACCTGCTGTTTACTCAACGCGGCGTCAATCGAACGACTACGAATGCTGGATAGGTCACGTCCCTATGATGGCTTGGTAATCTTGTCGACACGCTGTGGTCCAGGTTCGAACCCATAGGGCATAGACAGAGAAGCCTTCGTTCGTGCTGGGAGCCAGCCGTCCGTCTTATGGAATGCTTAACGGCTATATCGGACGAAACATAAAGGTAACATTAAGATCACAGGTAATATGTTTATCACTCGACCAATGCAATTGCTTCGAACTACGCGCATTCTTACATGAGACAGCACGCGACACATAACAAGTGATCTTTCGACCAAACAAGAACACCACGTACATGTAATAGACATACATATCAGTGCATAATACGTCAGCTTATACCGCTGACACAACTCGTCTACTACCATGTGCCTATCAACGGTTGTTCGTCTTTATCATCGAAAAACACCAACTTCTAAACTAAGCTAGAAAAGTATGCAGAGCACTGAATGAGACCTGCTTCGTAAAGGCACGTTTGCCATATCATTTTAAGTTTTAAGTAACAAATGAATACATATAATACAGCTAATTTAGAACACGGTTAGTGAAGTTACCGCATGATATCTGGTCCTTGTTAGCATAAGGGTATTTCTGTAACAGTGAAGTGGAAATGTTCAGAAGCTAGCTACGTATTTTAGTCTATCGTATGAGCAAATCCATTGTTAAGTTAGATTATCGTTTCGTTATTTCTAAATTCAAATATTTCATATACGTGTTCAGTTCGATTGGTAGATAATTTAAGCAAATACCAAGGTCGAATTGTTTAATTTACTTTTATTTTCGACACGACTACGGTGCGTATTGTTCCCGTCATCTGTTAGCACGCCTGATATAGAAAGACGGCAGCTGTACTCAGCTTGGCTGACAGTTTCCCTGATGCTTACATCGCTTGGTGCCGTGTGCTTGGCTAGATGACTCACGGTGACGAAATTCGGCCTCTCGTGGTTTCTTGGCTTCGAGGAAATCCCCAGGCATTCAACATTCTATTGTGCAATAATATATGAGTAAGGGTCTCTAGCTTTGTTATTTTTTTAACGGTTACTACTATCAGACGAAACCTATCTAAACCATGGTCGTATTGCACGATAAGCTCTCGACGTCCGATTACTTAGTCTAAAGAAGCATCGTGTTTATTGAAATGGCAGTTGTCATTCTGCACGATCAACACAGAAGGGCTTTTTGAGGCAGCATCGTCTTGGCATCGCGAGATGTAACTTACATCATCTTCCAGGATTTGTACATACTACCTAGCTTAATTTTGCTGATATTTTTTATATTTGACATATTTGATTTTTTTAAAGTTTCAACTCGAAATCGGCTCGCGTTTGATACGTGCAACTTGGAGACTCGTCGATTTTCATACGTGTGAGTGTCAGTTTCTTACAATAATGGACCCAGGCTTATTCCAGGCTAGGCTGCGAGTTTTCCGTAAACAAACTTGCGTCTATTTGTAAAAAGAAGTGCAAGGCTGCCGATTTGTGTTACAGGCATTGAATGAGCCTGAACAATGATACCGTGAACATTTCAACTGTCTTATTAACAGCGAACTTAAAGTAATGAAACACAGCTCGGGAAGGTGGCTCGGTAGTATATCGCTTTTGGACAACCAGATAATTGACAGCGAGTTCCAGAGAACATATTATAGAAAAATAGGATAGTGTCCTTTGCGATGCTTGCCTTGCGATGAACCTTCCAATAGCCTTTGGAGATATTACGAAAACACTATATAGCTTCCTTGAGTCAGCGATTCCTGATAGCCATCATGAACATCTTCAAAAAAGAACAAAGTAGTTCTCAGAATGGCCAGCTTTAATTAATAGTAGTTAAAACCCTAATAATCAGTGATGCTAATAACAAAACGAAAGGAATAATGACATTGGGTTTTGAAAATAGGACATAGAATTATGAGTAGAACGCTTTGATACTGTGCGGAGTTTGGGTGGCTGTTGCTTGGGCCATCAATCGATTTTAGAAAGTAGTAGCATACACATCATGTGTGTACACAAATTTACTCGTCATAGTGCACACAGTTTACCTATCCGTGGCTACTGTGTACAGGATATACGCATTACGTACAGACACGCGCAATTGTCATCATATTTTTGTTGCTGATTCAGGATCGTTGCTATAAGGTCAGGTTTTTATGGTCATCCAGTAAGGAATTCTCTTGTTAAGCTTATCCACCCCCCGCCAAAAGTGGTCATCTACCTCGCCGTTTTCAAGATATCCCCAGTCCATGAATACATAATCCTAACACACGTTTATGTTTAGGGTGTATGGAGACGTTATGTTCTAAGTTGGATGAGTGGCTGATTGGCTTGGCTAACGAAATGGTCACGTATAGACGGACAAAAAAGTAATGATATTCTCCTTGGCCGATCCTCGGCTTAAAGTGTAAAGCGACAGTTGTTTGTAACAAAGATCTCCATAAAATCGCTTTATATAAATGTTTAAATAGCGAATAACTATAGAGAATAAGCTGCCTCTTCAATGAGGTTCATGCATTGCTGATACGTGTCTACCAGATTGATTTGTCTACGAACTCCGTAAAATTGCAGTACCGCTGTAAGAAGAAAAAAATAAGTATGAAAATAATATTTTCGTTGTTGAATCGTTTGCAGTGGAATGTTACATGTGAAATGCTATATATGTTTAACACTAACCACAATGACCCAGCTGCCCAACGCTACCCTTTGATATTTTCATTTAACTCAGAAGTGCGTTATTTTATTAGCTTCTTGTTACCATGTTTAACAAAGTGCGAAGGCTTTTAAGGGAGGAAGGTATTGACGAACGCGAAGGGGAATCTCAGCACAAGGTTCTCGTTCCGTCTAAACGTCGTTTACTGAGATTTCTAAATAGATGGCTCAATCGTTCAATTGGTAGTAGGCTTGTATTGTCGTTTAGAGAGCCAGATTCAGCTTTACTCCAACATTAACGAGCGCTTCACTGAATAATCTGGTTATGATTAGATTTAGCATTCATTCAAGGGCTACATCTGATATCGGTGTGATCTTATCGCTGCTGTTGTTTGTGATGGGCACTGTAATTCCTAACAACGATATTTCATTTTTGGGTTAAAACATTTTATCTAGTAGAAGGGAAGCGAAGAAAGCCCCACATCGCGTTGTATAAATGAATAAATAACAGTAATACGGCGAAACAAACTGAATATAACCGGACGACAATGGAAGAGTAGCAGCTAGAGCTAGAGTAGGAAGCATAGGACATCGCAGAAGCACTAAATACAATAACACATTTTTTAACACCACCAAGATCAATTATCAAATTAAGTTCACGTTGGAAATGGGAGCATTTAGGGAATTGAACTAATATGTAATAATCACCACACTGATCGTCCGGCTCGGCTGCTCGTGCTGTTAACTCATACTAAAGGTAACAAGAACAAACACTACTATGGTCAAGTCGTATATATTACCTAGCGACTCATGTCCACTTCGCGGCTGACGGTTATTAGCCAAGAACAGACACGTCACAAGCCTTGACATTTGTTCGCTTCTATCGAATGGCAATGTAAATCAAGCAACGGCATAGTGGGTTAAAGATTAAAGTACCATAATGAGGAGTTGGGATGACTGGGCATATTCCTGGATCAATCATAGAGAGAAAAAGGGCGAAACTAACAAATATACGCAATACTATTTTACTAATGGGGGAAGCTTGAACGTCGTTTGTATCTCTGAAAATGATGACTGTCAGCGCAGACGCGCGATGCAAGCAGCTTACTGTTCAACCAACGTTCGCTTCAACCTTGACTAGATATGCTGTTACTTTGTCTATGTATTTTGGGGTTTACATCAGAGGTATCTACTTCCACAGATATACCCTAACTCGTTAACGAATATATAATACAGAATTGCATACAGCACATAGATACTGACATGGATCACTTCTAATGTTTTTTTTTTAGAAAATTTAATAAAAACTCGCAAACAAACTATATCTAAGAAGAGAGATTCTCAACGGGGACAGATTCTTGACGACCTCGTAACATTTTCATGTATTTCTGGCCATAAAAATGGCAAAAACTGAAGATACAACGAAATAAGCAGAATGAATCGAGGTTCTTTTGTGACTTTCTCTAGCGTCAGTTCTTACTGTGCATGCTCCGTTATATCCTCATTGATTATTCTTACTCCACTACAAAACACTAACTTGATTACATATAGTTCAGTGCATAAATGAAGGTGTTTCTTAAAGAAAAAACCGTAATCTGGGTCTGCGGGTTTTTAATTTAATGAATTATACGCTTAACATTGCGGAGTTCATAGCGAAACATAGTAAGTCTAAGAGGTAATTAAAAAAAAATGTAAGTTGTTCTGTGTGCAAATGCAGCGGTCTCGTCTTACATTCGTTGACCATTGTTCCATTATCTACAACTTAACAGATATTGATGTCTGGGTGAGATAAATCTACGCGTGAGTGTTCTATCCTAACTTAAGTGCTTTACGCGTGTCTTCCGATCGAATTATCTGAACTATGGTATCCAAAGTTGCCCCTTGGACGGCGATGAAGGCAGCTCCGCCGCAAACTAATATGAATTCTTTCATTTCATCGTAGTTTAACTTGTGCTAAGGTCGTAAAGGCGATGAGAGCTATTTGAGGAATGGCGAGGATCTGGGTACGCGGGCAGACGCTGATTTCGGACTCCGTTTTAGAAAGAAAGTCAGATTCTTAAGTTGTTGAATATTTGTTGAAGCTAGCGCATAGGGCACAAGTGAGAAATGATTGAGTTACGATGAACGTAAGAAGCGTGCCAAGGACTGTATAAATCTCTAACGAACGCTAAAGTACGGTTCTCTTTTTCTACGAAGTCACTTGGTGGCCTCACGTTATCGCATTGCTGCTTGCAGTGAGATTGCGCGACATCTGCGAATGATGTGTCTTGCGTCACTTGACGAAAGACAAAAATTTCCCGACGAGTCGGTACCGGGATAAAAATCAGAATATACAAACGAGTGAAACGGAGGAGGGCCTGCGAAGATGCTAACGTCAATAATCAGAGAACAGCACAACGCCTGCGAAGTACGCACATATACCGATAAGATAGGACAGATAGCAGATCTGCAAAGTTTCGAACTGGAGTGTCTCTGGTGGCACAGCCAGCAAGAAATGAGTCGCGCGATACTTACTACGCATATCTGGATCGTCTATAAACTGCGTGAATGTACCCGTCCGTGTGAATGTACATGTTTAGCGGAAATCATATTTGAACTGCTGCTGAACACACAGTCTGGGAGTGAATGTTGGCCTAGTAGAGGGGATCATGCAAATTGATGTACAGGGTTACAGCCCCAGAGACTCACTATACCGCTTAAACAAAAAAGCTCACACGATTAGGCAGATGATAACAAATGTATCGAATGTTCCGTTTGGGATCGCGTTAATATTGCGTCAGACATAATCATCACCTCGTTCAACAATCATGCCTATGCATGCTTACCCGTCACAGCTGTAAAGTCTGCTTTTCATTCATTAGGGATCGTCATTACTTACGAAATCAAAAAGCGTTTCCTCTGAAAAGAAACAACGTACCTAAATGCACGCATTTTCGTTTACCTATTGCTTTAACGATAGCAATCGACAACAGGATTGCAGAGGATTATATTAAAATGGAGTAATTAAAACAAAGGTGAAAAAGATACAAGAGGACATGAAATAAAAATGGCGAATAGACCTACTCGAGTAAAGAAGGGCATGTTTTTATTCAAAATTGAAGCTGTTAAGAGGCACTTGTATTATATCTGTATGTGGTACGGTCTTACTTTAGCTATAGATTTGAACGAATAATGAACAACAATGTTTGATGATAGGAGGATTTTTGCAGAGATAATATAGGAGCGACGCCTGCGAGCGGCTTAATCAGAAGCCAAAATCAAAAATAGTATGTTATATTACTTAATCGGTTAAAATCAAATTTTACCTTGTATTGATTAAGCAGTTAACGAATGATGTGTGTGTATCTCTTCAAACATATCTAGAAATGGCTCCACATACTAACGACGTATATAGCACGACGTAGGCATAGGTATTTAGTCTGCAACGGAGCATACAGAGCGTTGTGAGACTAACCAAAGCTATATTATGCTGAAATGCCCCGGCTTAACAACCACTTTCTACTGCCACTTTTATGAGGCTCACCAATGAATTATATAGGGATGAATGTTTGATTGAAGGTACGTTTGGATTCTGGAAAGAGGCCACAATGAACATATAACGTTATAATAGTATTTCTAATACAATATGTTTGCATTGTTACTGCGTCGACTTTTTACTTAATTTTTGCAAAAAAAGAACCATATAATTTATTTATCTTGTATTACTTCGTATAGTATAATATTTTAATTATGTGCTCGGCTTTTTGTTCTGCTTTATCGACTGCTTTAAGTGAATGCGAAGAAGAAGCATTCGAAGGTGGCAACTAATGACAAGCCCATTAAAGTGCAATGAAAAAACGTTAAAAAAAAAACTCCTGCAATGAAGCATTTGTAAAGACGTTGTTATGCAACGCTTGTATATGTAAAATTAGAATAATTTGTTATGTTTAGTGCACACCGAGGCCAGCATCGTCTGCCGCCGTGTTTGCAGGTACAAAGGGGAAGCAGTTTAGGCGAAATCGGCTGTGGTTGTTTTGCAAAGAGAGACCTCAACTTTTAATGCCTCAGTTTTCGACTCAATGGCAGACAACAGAACTGGCGCGCAACAGACATAGAACGGCTAGCAATTCTGGCAACTTTCTTCTCCTATGGGAGGACAATAGAAGACCCTTCCAGATGATGATTGCTCTCTTTGTTACGTCTGAGGGAGTAACTGGCGAGTCTCAGTATTAACATTATGGATGGAATCAGCTGCTGCGAAAGTTACCTATCATTAGACGGCTACAACAGTAATTACAACGAGGGCGGCGCCTGATTTTGATTCGTATAGACAATTATTTAATTTTTATTTCATAAATAGGCGAAGCATACTCAGTATTACGCTTAAAAATCATTCATCTCACGTATTATCGATGGAAAAAATAACGAAAGCTTATCCATTTATTTATACTAGCATGTAAGCTCACTAAGACTTAGAGCTTCCAAAAGTTTTTACGATCGCTTGTCTATTAGTCGTCAGCAATCGTTTTGTCTAGACAGCGTTGCAGCTGCCATTGAGCTTGTTTATTGTAAGACCTAATGAGTCATCTTACGGACAACTCAGCCAAGTAGTTGTCAGATCCACAGAAGCGCGTTTTACGTGGGTGACACGCCGCTAGATCTCAGCTTGTCCACAACTATAATGATCTACCATCATAGATATATATCTATATAAAAGTGTTGGAGTGAGTCAGGTAACGGCGAAAGGAGAAACGCATGCGCGCGTAATAGCATCTAATTATCTTATCTCTAAACATTTACAATTTTTACACCTGTGGCCGTCCCTAAAAATGTTAAATTAAACTGTCAAAACAGCTACTGCCGCATTGACGGCTTAATTTAATCCTTCTGTTATCAAAGCTAAAGTTCTATAATAGTCGGATTATTGTCTGATGTATCATTACTTAGTGTTTGGTCTGAGGTCGTCTACTTCCAGAACCCTAAAGGGTAAGGAAAAGCTTTTTGACTTTATGCCGCCTCCGTCGAGAGGTGCTACACCTAACTATCCTAGTAACTAAAAGGCTAAAATTTCATTAGTAGACGTGCTATTATATTCCCAAAGAATACTATATACATCACACAGTGGAAGTCCGTTGTGGCAAGCTATGCTAGTCAACTGGAGAAAAATAATCAAACCGGCTCCTTTGCAGTATTATATCGTTTGTAACAAACTATATTCTGCACTTTCATTTTAATCGTGAAATTGTAATGACGTCAAACTACGCCGTTTGGGTGGAGCCTCTTGAACCCAATTCTAAAGTAGCTGTGGATAATCATTAAAATGTTTGGATGTGTATAACAGGATTTGACAGCCGAGTATGTATTTGTCGCTGAGTGTTTATAGAGAATGAAGGGGAAGTCTCTTTTTGCGTAGAAACGATAACATCTGCGCAGGTGCTATAGGGAGGTGGAAAGGAGGAAGAGGGCAATGTAATCTAAGGTTAGACACCAAACTGCAAATAAGTTTACTACCTGGAGAGCAAGGTTATACAGAACTGGTTAAGCCACCCAAGACGTATTTATGAAAACACATAGAATCGTATTGTAACCACGTTAATAGATTCTTTCTGCTATATTCCGTACCAAGCTGCTTTTGGAACGCCGTAATAGCTTATTTACGACCATAAATTAGCAAGTAACTTAGTTTTGGCGTTTAAAGCTTCTCAGATTCAACGTAATTTACAATCGTAATGAAGAGGATTAAAAAATCTATTCAATTTACCCCTCCTTACCTAAAATTACACCGCAATTATTGCCCATTAATTGTTCCCCATACGAAGCAGCTACGAATCGAAAAACGCAATTATTTTCAAATTTAAAAATATAAACAAAGAAGAAGACCACCGAAATGAATGCTATAATCAACTTAAAAGATAAGTATTTCCTCATCACAAGCACAATATGCGCGGGCCTTTTTGGAAAATGCCGAATATTGTTTATTGCGTAGAGCTCCCTTGATAGATGTATACAAGCAAGCCTTCAATCATTCAAGACATTCATTTATGGTGAGTCTAACTATAAAGGCACTCACCTCACATTTGTAATTTTTAAAACCCATACGCACATCTATTTAAGAAAAAGGGAGAGAAAAATACAGTTCGATGAGTAAGCAGTACACAAACATAACTTTTTGTCTAAAAATGAACAGGTTGTTTGAATTTTCAGGCATTGCATGATCGGTTGTGGCCAAAGAGAGCAAAGCTTTTGCTACACACAAGTGAAATTTCATAACAATCTAACGCAGTTTGGAGCTTTCGAGTACAACTGAATAAGTTTATGAATTAAGCGTTTTGCAATTTCCTCGCAAATTGAGTAACCAGCGTAGACTACGTTTTGCGTACAAAATTAAATCAATCGCACCAAGACCTTGTGTATATTTCAGAATGCCTATGGAAGCCAGACACCAAATAAAGCTCAACTAAAAAAATGGTTCAAGCGTTCTAATGTCCAGGACAGAAGTCCATGGAGGAGAGTCCTCATTCTGAAAGGTTTTGACAGCAATGTCGAACGAGAACGTCGAACAAGCATCAAAACCGGCTTCACTTATGTCAGTCCATTTTAACTGACCTTTTAGGTATTAGAAGATTTACGACAACGTTTGTACCGAAATAACAGTTTATGCCATTCGGCTTTACGGTAACCAAACGCTGCAAACAAATGTTATGAAGACTGCGAATCTGTTTGGTGTAAGAGACCAGACCCATGATACAACAAGTTCTGGGTCTTCCATCATCACAATGCACCGATCCACACTTTACTACCCGTACAGCGGTTTCTGAAAAGTAACTCGATGTGTGTGTGTAATCCCAGCACGCGTATTCGGACCTTACGATTTGAGATTTTTTCTATTCCTAAAATTTAAGACAAGTTTAAAAAGGAAACATGTTGATAGAAGCAACGTAAGGAAATTGCCTTAGCTAAGGGCTGACATAACGACTGAATTTGGAAGCAGTCTGAATTGGCTGAAAAAATATGGCATATTTTAAACTGTATGGTATTTTGGCCCCTAAATCGTATTATTACTGACCTATTTAACATATTACGAAATGAATAAAGAAAAGTCGATATGTGATATGATATAGATGTTTCTATTTACAAAATTGAAGGATTTGATTGGAGGATTGAAGGAGTTGCAATTTCGATCCTTTCAAATTACATTATTTACATCGATCATCATAGTTGTTCTATAAAAGCCTTCCAAGAGCTGCGATCTCCTAGAAGAGATGCCCAAGCTCGTAGAAATGTAGTGGTAACTGCTACTTTAGTTACGCTCGCGAAACCTGCGACGCTAACGCTCTGAGCCGTAAGCACGGCGCTCAGAAGTTAATTAAAATATCAATCTGTTCTAGTTCAACCTACGGCGAAATGAATGGAATCCCAGTGAGTGCGGTTACTACTATACCTAATGTCACTACGAATCCCTTAATACTGACAACTTACTTGTAATTACCAGTTGTGATCTACTTTCGATACGAATTTGTATTTCTGAGAATTTTAAGCACGAGACGGACTACCGCAAAGGCCCAGTCCACACAAATACATTTGATCATTTCTTGCGCAAGGTGAAGACCAAATAAATAATCACCTGTGCGTCGGAGTACACAGAGTATTTCTAATAAAGTGAACACATAGATACCTACATTAACTTGTTAGAAAGTTGCTACCGTTTTCCACTTTTTTTTTTTTTTGTTAAAAAATATATTTTCTGCTAACATCTGCGCTTTAAACCGCCGGAGCCCTCTCTCTTACTTTCTTGTTTCTTTGTCGTCCTTGAACGAACGGACAAACGCTAGCCCGCGCCGATGAGCCTTGTGGAGTGCTAACGCCGAAAAATACCGACCATCGACAATCTGTGTCAAGAAAATGTAATTGGGGTGAAAAAAAATCGTACATTACAAGATTAGATGTATATATAGTCAAAGTAAGCAGAGTTGAGTGTTCGACCGGGTTCCGTGTTGTTACTGCAGCTGCTGCACCTGCCGTTGTTATTGTCGACGAGGCGGCTTGTTATGGCGTTCGAATGGATGGTTGGTGCCTTACTTAAAATCAGTTTAGTTAGCGGCTGATCTCTTCGAACGCCGCAAAAATTAGCGTGTTGGCTGACGTTGTGCTATGGCCACTCCACGAAAATGAATCTGTTCGCATAAGCACGGCCGTTAAGCGCATTAATAAGTGCACATTATATTCGTTTGGTCAATCTGCAATATCTCAAACGTTTCAGAAGAAGTCGGCCACTCACTGCTGGCATTTGGGAATTATGGATCAAACAGGCCATTGCGTCGAAATTGACCTTGACGTTAGCTCACGTGGGTATAAATAAGCATATATTCAAACGCTGTTGAGACAAATTCGTTGACAATGCTATAAGGTAGATTGATGATATAGTGGTTACATTAGTGCACGACCGACTTACTGTACAATTCAGGTCGTCATTAGGGGACTCGAGGTAGTGCGGCTGATCTAGAGAGGATTAATAGCTAAGTATATTATTACATTAATAATATAAGGATATTATGACACTTTAATAATTTACCTCAACCTGTGCACTGAAGTACCGCACATCATTGACGGAATAAGCTATAAATAGAAAGTGTTTCACCGTTTAGAAGCTTACACATAATAACCATCAACTATATTACCGTGTAAAAATCGTTAAACATAGCTATTCCTACGCATACCAACGTTAACAACAAGCGTTTTTTTATCACTCTGCCAGGAGCTGTTAGTGCTTGCTACGGCAAAGATAACCCTGAAGGTCAAACCTCAAAGGTAATCTTTCCAGGTGGCAAACAGAAGATGTTTGACGTCATTTGTGATTTGCAGTAGTGGCCAAAAATGGCCACGACTAACGGAAGACGTCTGTATGAAATTTCATATAGAGGACCGAAGTTTAATTTTTTAAGTTTAAAAAGAGCTTTTTGGGCCAGCGGGCACATGTCGTTAAAACTCTTACTGGGGTAAAAAACTTAAATTGCCAATTATGGGCCGATCCGATAAATATACCACTTCAACGACAACAAACTATATATATATATATATATATATACATATATCTTATACTTTGTTTGCTTGTGTTTATAGTACATTCATCTCTTAGCTCAGCCCTTGTGTAGTCGGTAGTTCCATTTAAATCGATATGGGAAGTCAAATACTAATAAATAAACATGTTTTTTAGATGTTTTTATTCGTTCTCTTTATTTACACTGCAAGAAAATAAAGCTGCATTAGCAGCTTAACCGGATAAACGAAAAATTAATTTATTAGTTCTTCTAGTTGAGTATTGGATGCGAACTTTAGATTGGGTTTACGTCGCTAAAATTAACTATTAATTCAAACAATGAAATATTTTATATTGGGCGCCACTATCGAATACTTAATATTTGGAAGGAAAAATCCATTCATTGCAAAATGGCGATTTCCAGGTTAATGCAAAGAGCAGGCCGTTTTTTGAATAATCTGTCACCCTTGAGCCAAAAACCAAAGAATAACTTAATCGGAAAGCCAGCAGAGAACGCGCGATACTTGTGGAGTTTCTTAAACCGTATTTTTAACAAAGTCGACGAGAATCGAATCAAAGAGTGCGGACCAGACCGAGCCGCATCGGAGTGGCTAATCAGGTATTGTATCAATTTAGCTGCTCAGTAACAGTTTAATCATATACCAAGCTTTATTTGTGGGTATAGTTACGCTACTCAGACTAATCAAACGTATACGGATACATGGTGCATATTATCCTGAAAAAAAAAATTAGTTTCGTAAAAACGAGCTGTAGTGATTCAGGAGGTCGTTATTATATGCAGAATTTGCTGGCTCAATGTATACAAAGAAGGTACTAATGACAAGAATTAGGAAATGATCTTCGGTAATGAGTTCGGTTTAGATGATGAATCACTTTTGGGATATTAGGAATAAATTAACCACCATCAAAATAATAACCTCGATTTTTTGTGCTTCAATGAGGTTCTCTAAGAAAAGTAGCTGCTGTAACTATTGAGCAGAGTGATTGGTACTTTCTTACTTTAACAATTGCTCATGCGTCATCGGAAATCAATGTTTGAGCCATCCGCTTGTTGCTGGAACATGATTGAAAAATGTGTTTTCTTCAAAGGTTGTTCAAAGTTCTGTAAATGTTTATCTCGGCCTGCTACGTCATCACGCGTGATTATTGAAGGCAATTTAATTAATTACTCTGATTGCTTAAGTTCTTGACTCATTCTAACCTTTTTCTCAATTAGCTATTGTAATGATCGGACGGAAGATTAGATAGTGTCACATATGCGCATGTAGGTTTTTAAGAATAAAAATTAACGCATTTTCTCGATTGTTCCTTGTTCATATATGAATTTCAAACCTGCGTAAATAAATGAACATCTGAAATAGGTCGATCAAGTAAAACTCGCAAAAACAACGCCCTCCTAATAGGCTTTTTACCTTAGATGTGGGGCTTCCGTTCGGTGGAAAGGATACGACAAATTTCACAATGATTATAACACACTTCCGTCAGGACAAACCGTTATTGAGGCCATTGACGCAACTGACTCGTGTATTATGAGCCTCGGATTTCCCTATCTCAGGTGAGAGCCTCTAGATACTATGAAGGTTCTGCTGTACAAAAAAATGTAAATGAAATCAGCGAGATTCGTTTTGTTTAAATGAAATCTTGTCAGTGAAAATTGAGTAATTTACCCTTTAGTGTATTCGAAGTTTTTTCACCATTTTTTTTTTTTAATTTAGCCACCATTTTGAATTTAGCAGGTGCAAGTGTCGCATACTGATTACTTATAATGAAGAGCATAATTGTTTTACAGGGGACTGAAAAGTCTGCAGGAGATTAATTTGAGCAAATGCTACTACTTGGAAGATAATTGCCTTCATCTCTTAGGGCTATACCAAGGAGATCAAATTCGTCGTCTGAGACTCGTGTCTTGTGGTAACGTTTCCGATGCAGGGATCGCTAACCTGACAGCTATGAAAGCTTTAGAAGAATTATTCATGTTTGATCTTCCCGCAGTGAAAAATCGCGAGGCATGTATTAAGCTGCTGCATGAAGCGCTGCCGAAGTGCAAGATTGAATTTCCTGAAGTCTAAGATCCATCGAAGGAATGTAGCGATAACGACAAAGGGTCAAAATAATTTGGTTAATATAAGGAAAACGTAGCCATTCTTTGTGGCTATTGTAATTACATTACAGCTATTTTTATCTGCCAATGCCTAGTCATATAAAATAAGACAATCTACAATAAAGAGGTGATTTTTGATAATAACTATACAAACGTTATTCAATTTATTTTTACGTACTTAGTTACTTCGTCTGTTAATTGATAATGAGATATTTTGCTCGTTTTCCGTAAGTCTGTGACCTACCACCCCCATTTAACTAGTTATCTATAGGAGGCTCTGCGGTCATCCCGCCTTCTGGGTGAACGATCCCGTTCCCATACTTTTCCGAAATTCCTTTCCCGTGATCGGTCTCGCCGTGAATCCCGATAGCGGTTATCGATTCGACGTTCATTACTCCTATAGATGAAATATACAGACAAAATAATTAGTTGTGATAGTAGCTACGTCATAGAGCCTGCTGTATAAGGAAGCGGGAGCTATGCTCGTATATCACTATTGCCTCTGTTGTCACCAGGTCGGCTGCGTTCTTCACGGATCTGTTCATAATGTCCTTGATAACACCAACAAATTAACTGTTTGGCTGCTCGTGTCGCTAGGTGTCCTACGTCACAATTATCTAATAAGGTTGAAACTACATTAAAACATGTGTTTTCATGCATTATTTTACAGTAGTCCTTTCTCCTTTTAGATATAAAATCATAGTAGTAAATATAACCGCAAGTACGCGACAATTATTAGTGTACTGATGTTAATTCTGAGCAAACATGCCTTTCTCTGCTCCACCGCGACGAGGATGACCCGGTGCCGATTTCTCTGTGGTGATATCCACCTCCGTTACCTCGCCGCCTTTCCCTTGCCGGTGACCCTCGTAATCGTTCCCTACTACGAGATCGTTTCTGCCTACTTCTGCTTCGTGATCTTCGTTGTCGTGTTCGGCTACCCGACCGCGATAGGCGCCTTCGTACTCGGTCTCGGCTGCGACTTCTTTGCTCTCTGCCTCCATTATCCCTATTGTTATGACCGTGAGCAAAGCCACCCCACTCCCGTTCACCCCTGTCGCGACTCAGACTCCTGCGTCTGGGCGAAAAGCCTTCGTCAGATCCGTCTGACCCAAAGCGTCGCTCTGTCCGGCCATATCTATGCCATGCGCATAGATGTTACATAGATTAGGTTACATATTTGTTGCTAAAAGGCGCATCCGATACAATTCAATGAATCATGAAATCCGTAGCTTCAACTTAATTGAATGCACTGAAAACCTATTTTTTCTCTAATATAAAGCTGTTTGAACTACCCTTTACTTGGTTTTAATGTCCTCACTACTGGCTTTCGAATCGACGGGCTAAAATTATTCTGTAGAATTTAAACTTTCCTCTTTGGCAGGCTAGGAAAAGCACTGTCATATAATACTTACTTGGCAACATGCTCTTTAAGTTGTTCTTGTCGCTGCATCCATTCTTCTCTTGCCTTTTCCTCCTTTTCCATTCTGGCAAGTTGATCCGTTTGGTGTGTTTTTTTCAGCATTGCCTGCATTTTCCTACGTAACCTTTCTTGAGGGGTCAGCTTTCCTGGTGGTTTAACACCAGCAATCACACCGGATCCGACGTATTTCTTTTCGCCCTCTTCTTTATCTTTGCGTTCATCACGACTTATGGAGTCGGACCCGCCTGGTAAAGCATCTGGCATGGCTTGCCCTAGTATCTGCCCCTGGACTGCTACAGGCATATGCTGCATCAGCTGTGTGTCCACAGTCATGTCCTGATTTTTGTTATCTGATGTCTGCGAGTTCCCTTCGTCGGGTGAACTATCTTCTTCAGCTGACCCATCTGACTTCAGGTCGTGCCGGTAGTATGACTTGCGCGGAGGTGTTGGAAGTTTCACCGGTGGTTTAGGAGATGCGGAGCGGCTATCAGAAAAACATTTAGGTCGTCAAATAGAAATATCAGATCAAACCATTTAGCAATGTAATCTATCTGTATTAATATATAAATACATGTAAATGCGAAGAAGTGCCAATTATTTCAGTATTAGTCTCCGAATTGCCGAAGAACTAAACAGCGGTGAGCAGGTCAGCTAAACGAAAGACAAAAATTCCTGATGTGACTACGACCAGAAAATGAATGACTAGTGTAAGCAAAGAAAGTGGAAGCCATCATTATTTACCGACGGCTCCTTGATCTGCTTCGTGATCGTCTTCGACTACTGCTACTGCTGGAAGTTGATGACGAGCGACCACGCCCCTGTTGTTGATGGTTATGATAATCATGATGATGGTGTTGTTGTTGTTGTTGCGATCCATTCTTGCGAGCTCTTCGACGTCTTCGCTCCCTCGATGACACGGAATCGTCGCTTGATGATGAAGAGCTTCTCGACCTCCGTATCGACAGTCGTTGCCCGCCCTACAAAAAGGGACAGTGCAATATAAAATGTGTCATTTTTCAAAATACATATCGTGCCTTTAGCATACTGCCTCTCCACGACAAGGCGCCACGAATCACTTAAATATACCACAAATATATGATAAAATAAAAGCATGCTTCTGTCCCACAGCTACGATGTGTCGTTGCTCTAAAATGCTATTTCTGTGCGCAGTGCACAACAGAAATTTGTTCTCTGGCCCCTTTCACGGAACACCTTTAGTCTTTATTGATTGTAGGCGGCCTACACGGTTTACCAAGCACAAATTTCTACAAATGACCCAAGCAAAAGGTATTACCTGATAATTTCGAGCAGTTAGACTTGAGATGGTCTGTCGCTTGCCGGACGTAATTGTTCGGTTACGACGGCAGGAAGGTGATGCGGATCTGGAACGCCGCGCAACAGCCTCGTCGCCCGATTCCCCGCCGAACGAGGTGATGAAACAGACCTGTACGAGTGGACGAACGTCCCAACGATGCAACAACAGAATTTTGGCGTCAAGTTACGCCGCAACATGCACGCATACGCAAATACCCGAGAAAATCGATCCACCAAAGCAAATACATATATACAAATTGATTTGTATACATCCGAAAGTTCATACACAAAAGCACGCGTCCACAAACACGAGATAGCGAAAGAAACAAAGACAAGAAAAAAACAGTGATTTCAGTTAAGGTCAACTAATTAGTGTACGCCTCACTATGGTCACTATTAGCAATTATTTAATAGTCATTGTATGATGCTAAATCGTATCTACCGACTTTAAATTCGGTGACTAAGCTGTTAAAATGGTTAAATTGATAGTAAGTTCGAGTAATGGCACTGTGGGCCATCTCATTTTGAGGACTGAGATACAATAAAAATGTAAACGCTAATACTTCATCTCTTTTTAACTGAAGAGGCGAATAAAACGTTATTTTTTTCACTAACGGAAAGCCATTTCTCTGCCCCTGCTCTTTTCGTTTTCCTCCGTCCTGAGTTTCGTCGCACAAACATGCTTTAGTGCCTACCAAAAAACAATGTCACTAAATAGCAGGTGTTAATTGAATTTTTCCTTCCGTAGTCCTTATAAAAATTCTAATTTTTATAATTTTTGATTCGAAAATAATAATTATTTTCTCTTTCTATACCTTTACAAGTACTCTATTTCTTGAAAATAGTACTTCACCATATTATCGACACAAAAAATCTATAAGGACTATGATATAAAAGCGTTTAGTTTGATGTTTGTTGAAATACACGTCGGATATAGCTGGTTGAACTCGAATAGAGCCCGGCATCCAGCTATATTGTCTATAGTATTTTTTCAATGAACACATCGCTTTTCTTATTGGTGTCGTCATACTCCCTGTAAACATTATCAATCTGAGAATTAGGTAGTCTAGTCATCTAGAGTATAGACGCAACATGCAGAGCAATTAACCGCAATCCGCAACATAGAGTAAGACCCACCGGATTCACAAGTGCGAGTGGCTGAAAATATAAGAATGGCTCCCATCTTCGTGTCACTAAACAACAATAAAGCTCATGGCGCTATTCCGAATCGACTTTACTCTTGTAAAGGCACTACCCATGTGGCAGAGCCTATATAAGAATGAGGTCAATAGATTAACACGTCCATACAATGCTTTAGGTCCATTTCGTGACACTTGCTCTTTATATTGGACCTGTGTCCAATTTTTTTCCATAGAATCTCTCAATGTTGGGTAAGGTAGCCAATTGATGATCTAGATCTGTGACAATCGATAAGTTTGTATCATTGCATGGGATCGAATATTTTCATGTCACCACAGAGATGTAAATAGGGGAAGTCTTGCCCTCGTCATGATGCTCCAGCACTATCAAAGGCTTCCGCCGATGAGGATAAAACGCATTATAATTACAGATCAACACGATGATTATTACGAACGGCCTTTTTGCCCATCTGGCCAAATGTAATGCTAATGGAAACGTGCCAAACACCTACCTTGCCCCGTCCGTCGGGTGAAGGTGACCTGGAACTGGACTTTTCCGAGCGGAGCAGATCACTAGCTCTCGACGCTAGCTCCTGCTGGGGTTCAGCAGCCGCATAAGCCGGCAACGAGGTAAAGGAATGCCCCAACAGACCCATGGTCTGTCCCGCATCGCCAGTCCGCAGGGTGTTCAGGTCTCGGGCGCGGGCCTGCAACAACATAATGGACCCACAACATAACAAAATAACAATTCTCGGCACACACATGAAAACTCTTTTTTTTTAGATAGTGTTGGCAATGCCTCTTGCAACATATCAGTGTTATGTATTGGAGACTTATGTTCAGTCTTTTTTTGAGGTGAGAGCACCGCTTCCATATACACAGACTCAAAATGTACTTTGCTAGCCACGTCTAGATAAGCTCTTGGGAGAAACGAGCTGGTTTTGTTCTTGCTGCTATTACTACACTCTGCAACGCCCAAATACTGTGGGAGCAATGGAGCTGAGCAGACAAGCTAGGGGGGCTTCGCTTATTTTTCTAGTGGCGACGACTTGCCACGAACTAACGAACAGCACCCCATTATTGTGACCCATTACTATTGTGGCGTATAACTTTACCACCACCTTCTCTGGACAGCTGTTTTCATTAACGTCCGTCAGCTATTTCAGCATCAGCTGCTGATGACACAGATGGGCCAGTTGAGACCCTGATGCTCGCCATGTGCCGCTGAATGTCGGCACCTGGCAGCTACGACATTCCTTGAGCACACCTCTTGTTGCCAATTTTTCGTCCCCACCTGCTCTCGTGCCCTGCGCCTATCTCTTCGGTTCCTGCGTCCAGCAGCTCGTTCCTCTTCAACCGCTTTTGCTTCTCGAAGCGCTTCGAGTTCGGCCTTGTCACGAACCAGCTGGTCGATAAATTCTGTTCCTGTCATTCCTGCGGAGGATTTGAGGTCATTTTACCAGAGAATACAATCAGGTTAGTTAATACAATTGATCATTTGACCGATCGAGCTTCGGTTAAGCACCTACTCTAATATTTTCTGGGATTGCCGCCAACTATGTCTTTATATCGAGATACGCTACTTATTGCCGTGTAGCGTAGATGGGCGATCAGCTTAGCTTGTTATAGACTAATTAACATATTCTAGTCAGCTGCAATCTTCTACCTCCGTAGAAAGAAGGGGAGGTAGCAGTAGAGTTAAATACAGGTTATGAGCTGTATAACTATAAAGTGAGCAATTTTCTCTCTAATGTTTAGAAGAATGTTTGTTATATGAGCTATCCAGTAATGCCCTTTCTGTGAAGACTATGACAAGACCCACCATAGGTGGTAGAAAGAAGGTTCATCTCCCGAGCTTGCTCCGACGGGATATGATCGACATCGAACACGATATCCAGATCGAACTCCTCCTCCGAGTCGACCTGCCCCTCCCCATCGGCCTCTTCTAGGCTTTCTTTTTCATCGGTCAACAATACCCCTCTAAATCCCCCTTGATCTGTGGAACCTTCACCATCATAGTTATAACCGATGGCAGCCTTTTTCTCAGCTAGCTTTTTCTTTTCAGCCTCCTGTTCAGCTTTTTTTATAGATGAACCCCCGAATCTGCAAGAACGACACAGCAGAATGCAAAAGCACATGCATAGAAATAATTAACTATGGAGCAACGGGTAGATTGCCTTACAACCAAGCTACGTCCATGAAGACTGTCCAACTACCTAACTTTAAATTCTTTTTTTTTGTCTCTTCCAGAGTTGCCTGAAACAAGGAACAAGTTACAAGACGCCACAGAGGGATAAATAAGAATGCAGAACTATGGACAAAGCACCAAACAACGTTAGAGAAAAAAAAACCAGAAAAATGCTTCTGCGTTTTTCACTGACTAACAGCTTATTTGGGTTACTCGCGCGAGTTACATCGGAAAAAATCCTCTCCATGTAAGTATACAGGATATACTCCCTTTTGCCAAAACACTCGAAATTTGATTCTCTGTATAAGACGGCAACTGGCCGTTAACTGTTAAGGCCTAATATCGTTTTACAAGGTGGCATTTTAAGAGACACTTAAAACAATAACTTTTCTGTCCCCATATCTTTAACAGTATTTCCTTTGATATCTCCAATTAAGCTAAGCACACGGATCTACCGAGCACCGATAATTAGTTAATAGTGTCGCATACATGCAGATCTATTTATACTTCTATTTCCAATCAGTGAGCCTGCGTATGTATGTAAATATTAAGAAGCTAACTATGAGTGTTCAACGTGCTGAAAACACCGTTGGATGTTCTTTTAAAATATTAATATTTGAAATCATTGTACTGGAAAGTGGCGAATTTTCTGTAGACGACAAAGAGCTTCACAGAGTTGAATGTAATGTCCTAATGATGCACACTCTGCACATAGCTCTGTTTAAGCCGTTTCCACATATCGAATAGATTCTCACAGGGTCCACACACAATCCGTCTCTGTGAATCCGTTTTCGTCGCGGCGGGAAAGTATCGCGGCCGTCAGTCAGAAGGGAGTACCAACATCAACAGCTGTGGCTGGTGGTATTGTAGTATAGAGCGCGGGTATTATGGGGCCAAAGGGGCCGCGAGGTCGTTCTACCTTCGCCATCGAGATCGTACCTTTCTTCGAGGTAAATCTGATGCAGAAACTTATGCTCTTTCACTTGGGCAAAGTCATTCTGCACAAGGATGCGATAACGTTCGTAGTTGATTTGCGACTCTTCGGCGGTCGGCGTTGTCGTGTTACCGTCCGTTTTCGTCTCCTTGATCTGTTCTGGAATAACATCAAGATGGGCGCGAACGTCGAAACGGTCGATGATTGTGTCCGCTTGATTCTGCCATTGAACCATCGTTGATGGCGCCTCCGCTTGAGCGGCGAGCGATGGATCAAGATGGATTTTCAGGGAGCGCCCATGAACCTAAAAATGATTCAACGTAAACATAAATGAACAAAAACATAACTATTAATCAGGTAGTGACAAAGGGTCCACAGTTTCAGTACCTTATGAACCTATCGAAAAAAAAGCTTCAGTATGTTAAGCTGTCAATGCACAAGATTATGTTCTGTTCATTTGCATATAATGCATTTGTACATAAAATATTAGAAAACTGTGCTTCATGAAATCTTTCACCCCTTTTCGCTACTCAGTTCACTTCAAACCTGAGCACATTTATTCTTAAAAAAAAAAAAAGTATATCTTACGGTACCCAGTACTTTTCAAAACCGCAGAGAACTCAGCTCGTATCAAGAAATTACGTATTTAGATTTATGGTTACGGTGTTCCCTTCTATTTAAAGTCGCCAAAGGGTACACATACGTTTCATACAGTTTTAGCGCTTCTGTCCAAGGATAAGTCTACTAGTTTTGAATAAGACGCACTATTGCATTTAGAACAATAAGCTGGAAATGGCTATTACAACCGCTAAACGACCTTTTAGATTTTGCTGACAGAAACGTAGTGAGTAAAGGCTCACACGTGCATGTACACAGAAGCATGAGATGCGAGTAGTAATTTAAGAAAAAAAAGGCGATAGATAAACGGTAGTTATATCTTAAGATAAAGAAGTTAGGTTAATATACATTCTTATTCAGCGTGTCTGTGTTAATTAAATTTCTGTAGCTATTCAAAATGTCGTCTGTTTCAGCGCTTTGTCAGGCAAATGTAATCGTATATCGGTTGAATGGTTTTTAGCGTATATTGCTGGTGTAGAAGTAAACAAAATAGAATATGTTCGCGATTCGCAGTTTTCTTTACGTTTTTCGAAAGACGACACCGTGACCACGCCGTATGCGTGCATATGTACCTCAAAAACTAACGTAGTTAAAAAAAAAGAACACTAATAACTGTAAATATGAAAACTGTTTCCTATCAAGAATGTTCGACTTCAGACGCTCAGTTGACTTCATTTATTTCCAGTATGTTTGGCCAATAAGATAGGTGCAAATATATGGTACGTTTCCTCAAAAAAATGTCACATGCTTGACGTCGGACCGCATCCATTTGCGCGAATAAGCATTAGAAGTATTAACATCACTCCTACCTGCATAAACTGAGCGGGATCCGTCTTAATTCGGTCGTAATATTCTCTGCGACGTTCAGCCCTCTTCTTATAATCTACCATCATCCCTCTCAATCGGCGTTCTTGTTTTCGGGCCTCAGTCCACACTCGGCAACCGCCGGAGCCACTCATTGTCTTGAGCTGTGAATTTCACAACTAAACGAGTTGGCCACGCATTTTACCAGGCGTAGATTTTACACAGCATGCCAATTAACTAGATCCGTTTCTTTGATCTTGTCTAATCGTCTAAACTGCCTGTAGTATACATTCACAGTCAATACTTCGTTTAGAGGCTTCACTGCACATCACCGTCAGCAGGAATTTGCCACAACAAGTCAATGTTTTGATGTTGAATTCAAAACACGGTCAGATACAGCGAGAGCAAGATTCATCGGTTTGCCGTCTGCTAGCTTATTTGTTTATAAAATTTGAAAAAAAAACGTGTTATTCACCTAAACAAGGATTTACCGATATGAATTGCCCATATAGATCTGATAGCTAAGACAACCTAAGTGAAATAAGCATCATGTTCAAATTTACAACGGGAAGCCGGATTCGAGAAATCGTCAGTGCACCTTAACATAAACGCAACACTCCATGTGCGTGTTTCTTGGCTTTCAACTAGGAGCTGTTTGTTAAAATTTGAAGGCCCGAACGCCTTCGCGCCGATTGAATCGTACGATAAATTTCGCGAAGGTTCGTTCTTTTTTAGTTTTGTATAGTGGTTTTACACTTTTAGATATCGTAAAGTTACTCTTCATACCTCCTACTGCGTGTTATTCGATAGAATTAGGCTTATTCCTAACAATTATTTTTCAATAGTCATTGGTTTATCATAACTGAAGGTTATTAATCAACCTAGCAGCTATCAGTAATAAATAAACTATGTTATTGTTATGACAACGGTAGTATTGAGAAACTCGGGGATAATTGGAAATTAAATGGAGTTCTGTCTACAGTAGTCAAAATTGCATGTACTAAGTAAAATGGCGAGAGCATACAACTATAAAAAAAAGAAAGTGAGTTAATATATTTAGGTGAATGCATTTCATTTCTGTAACTAATTAGTTAATAAATACCAACATTTTTCCTCTAAAACTAGGAAATTTTATCATTATGGTATTCGCTAGAGTTTAATGCATTGAAACGAGCACCGGAAATTAATTTTCAAGGTTTTAAACCAATAACACTCAACAGAACATTTGTTTCTATCTCTCATTAAGATGAAGGCGATTATTCAACGTGTGCGAAGGGCAAAAGTAACTGTGAATGACGAAATCGTCTCCTCTGTAGGGAGAGGCCTCTGTGTTCTTTTAGGTAAGGTGTGTTCCACTCAGTTTTTGCCTAGATTTTTTACGTAGTCGTTGTTCGATTTATATTCTTACATTATCTTTTACCATTACTAACAAACAATGTAGTCGTTAGTATATATAACGCATCACTGAACGGTAATAGGTTCTCGGAGGTTTCCGATCGATTCAGATTGAGCAGGCATATTCTGCAAATGCAAAAGAGGAGGAAATCTACGCTGACGACAACCCATTTCGGTACATTGGAAGCTGACCAGAGGAAAGGCTTTGCACTATTGCCAATGAACTCGGAACGTTTTCGAGACTAAGCAAGTATCCACACGAGTAACGCAACTTCTCTCTTCTCTATTTTGTTTTAGATTTTGCAAATAGAATCACCTACTTCGAAGTAATGTTTGTTTCGTGTTAAAAAAATACCTAAATGTCATGTAAGTTTTTAGGTTCTTCGAGTTCCTGGATTTAAATTGAACGATTACTATCAATAAATACTCTTCGTTTAAATGTAGAATGCAGTGACGTATCCTTCTGTAATTACCGCTCGTTTCCTTCGAGCTGCATGCACGTCAACAAACTATCTTTTAGAAGGAAGATGCTGCAAAATAGATCGTAATAATAATATGAGTACTAATAATAAGACCAATAGTGTTAAAACAGCTCCAAAAAGTTTTCTTCCTTGTCTAACTCATTTTTACGACACTATAATAAGTTGTAACTTATGCCCTAGTATGTGGGTGGTTACTGATATATATGGGCATTTAGGTAGTTAAAACGTGCTAATAAAAGACAATGGGTTGATTTTTTATCTTCTACTTACCTGCGTAGATACGGAAAAAAATAGGCCCAGGGCAACGTCGCTTAGCATGTTAACCTCTTGGCAAGTTATTATTTTTTACTACAAAATCTTCTTCTAAAAGGTAATATTTGTACATGCACTATGGTTAATCGAATATCAATATTTTAATAGTTGATAATAATAATACCAGAACGCTCTTGTTTGTTAACATTTATTATTTTAAAATGCTTATATTCAATTTCAGGTATTTATAATTGGAGCTGTTTTTTGACAAGAAGCAGGGCCCTATTAGCACTGACCATCTTTTCAATGGAAGTATTTTTTTAGTGGAAGTATTTACGGATAAATAGACGGTAACCTGTTACGTATTCTTCATATTAAAGTGTGCGTGTATGGACAATTTGTGTGTCTTTATTAAAACGTAATACTATTTGTTCTCTTGTTTATTCTTACTGCTGCACAGGTATTCATCGGGATGACACATCTTCAGATTTGGAATACGTAGTTAGAAAGATTCTCAGCATACGTTTATTCGATGCAGACGGTCAAAAATGGCGAAAAAGTGTCCAAGATGAAAATCTTGAGATTCTCTGTGTTAGCCAATTTACCTTACATTCGACATTGAAAGGTAAGAAAGGTGTATCTAGATACATCCTTATATACGTTACATTCTATCTAGGTTCTTAGTCACAATGCTGTAGGCTATTCAAGCGCATGATTTATCTATTTATGTAACTGCTTCCTTATTCTGTTATACTTAGGCAATAAACCTAATTTTCATCTAAGTATGGGCGCCGACGAAGCTAAAGAAATGTACAACGAATTTTTACGAGCCATGAAAAAAGGCTACTGCGAGGACCGAATAAAGGACGGCCGTTTTGGAGAATATATGCAGGTATTGACACCATGATGCCTTCTAAACATAACCTACTTGATACAAAATAAAAGAAAGTGTGCGAGTGTGTATATTCGTTTGTTTCAACATATTTATTTGTTCTTTAATCGCCAGCCTCCAGTGGTTCTTAATTATTTATTATTTCAAACTTGGTGGAAGCGGTGGAATTCAAGGAGATATCGATGACCTAATCGGCCGGCCTATGGAGAGCCTGCTGCAGGCTGAAAATGCCGGACCCTTGATTTTCGATAGGGGCGGACCTGCAACCGACGAAGGTGGCGCAGCCATGGACCGACAGTGTCCACAAGAACAGGCGGTGCAATGGGTGAAGCCGTATCTACATAGTCCCGCTTTAACATGGTATAACGTCAAGGCCATAACGGGAACCAACAACTGAAGCGTTTTCAAAGAGAAATTGCACAACGGCTTCGTCTAGGAAAAATGGGCCTGCCGGAAGGATTTTTCAAGTGGATGAGGGCGGGAGAAGAGATGTTTGAGACGTTAATTTAGTAGGTTCTTATGGGCAAGCTGGAATGCGACTATTCGGTCTTCATGTCTAATATTAAAAAGATAGCGAGGTCGGACTTTTTACTTCATAATGGCAGCTAATATGACCCCGTATGACGATTTGGTCTAAACAGCCCGGCGTTATATATCAGAGAGCTGTGACGAAGGGCGGCCAATATTCAGAGGGTTGCGTTTGCTTAGCCTGGTCTAATACATCGTCGTACCGACGCGGTTTGTTAGTGGCTGCTTCCAAGTTGACTGCTTATGTGCAAGTCCGATACATTAGGGCCGCCGTTTCTTCAGTTAAATTGATGTCGAATCGAAAGGTGTGGGACTAGTGTAGATTGCCATCGGCCTAAAAATGAGTGTCGTCTTGGCCAAGTTTCTGAAACGCACCGACATATGATTCTTCGACCGGACTGCCAAACGGGCTGTCAGATTTGTCGATGCTCAACAGCAAGCGCTAGCTTCCGTTGGGGAAGCTCAAGATCGTGAGAGATCAGATCGAGGAAGTTGGCCCACAATATAATCTTCAGGCTGTTTATAAGAAACAATTTTATTTTTGCTAAAAATAAGGCATATGCTGTGTCACAATGTGTGCCGATTCGTTTTTACTTCTTTTTGATCATGGATATTTCCAGAATGGATCGTCGCCACTCTTGGGTGGCTGCGTATAGCATGATGACTACTGACCTAAAAGTGGCCTATGAAGTCTTAGTCACCAACCCCGAAAGATGGCCATAATTTAGTAAAAGAATGTACTAAATTAGGCCGAGCTCAAAAGTGTATACCGCTTACCTGGTTAGAAGTTTCCAATATGAACCCCGTACATCATATAGGGTTTCATATTGTAGTTATATTCTATCTAAGCACAGACTAACGTAAGTAGCGCCAATTGATACAGTAAGGCGGAAAGGTGGAACACCCGATAGCCTATGCGAATAGGCGTCTTTTGGTCCAACGGGCAAAGTAGCATTCGTTGGCGCCGGAGTCTTTAGCTGTTGTCTGAGGGATAAAGAAATTCCATAAATAGCAGCACGGACGGCGGCTCGTCGTGGTTACTTACAGCTTCATGCAAAAGTATTTGCAAAGTAAGAGCGAGCTCTGTCCCAAAGAGGCACGGTAAATTCTTGAATTGTGTGTCAATGTGCAGCTCTGAGATGAAGGGTAAATCGTAACGCGGACATGCTGTCGCGGCGACAATTCAGAACAGAACGATAAGTGATAGCGCTGGCCTCGGATCGCTTGCAGCATGTCAACTGACAAGCCCGCCCTTAGCATCCATGATGAGCTGGGTTACCTTGCTGTCGAAGATCTGGCCGATTTCTGCTACATGTAGACCTATTTTTTAGTCACGAAGTATGGACCTTTGCACCCGTTTCATTCACCTTTTTCCGGAAAGGGACAGCTCAAGCCGCAGTAAAAGCCTTTTTCACCTTTTAGGAGCAATACGGAAAGACCATGGATGCGGTATCACGGGCCAGCTATTTTCGAGACCTGTGTGTGTGTGGCGGTATTTGACATGTTCTAGCATCTGTTGTGTAAGGATAGCCGTAACTCGTCTGCAAGCGAAAGTCCGTTTGATTGTGGAGCAGACGATCCGCACGGTCCGGAAGTACCTTCTTACCCCATGATTTTCTCGGCGGTCGCCTTCACAGTGAATACTAGAGTTAACAAGGCCCTAGGTGTAACGCCACGCGACTTGTTGTAGGGATTTAAGGCCATACCGCCAGGAAAGTCGCCAAAGTTGTGGGCAGATCAAGAGGCTAGTGGTGCAATATCTAGGCTGCGGACAGAAGCCTATGCCAGGTTTCACCAGCGGGAAGCGGGTTTTCGAACTTACAGCCCTTCTCGGGCTTTCCTGGTCAGTGGCTTCACACGTTACGAAAGCTACTGGCCAGAATGGAATATCGATAAGCCATACGTGTCCCGTACGAATAATGATTCGCGCGAGATACTTATGGCTTACGCGGGCCGTGACAGTGGTGTGTCATTGACAACCTAACGGTATATCTTGAATTAAGCTATCCCGACCGGTAGCGTGAACGAATAAAGCGGACATACAAATTATACACGTCGGTTTTATTAATTGCAAATAATGAGTATAATTCCAGCTCCGGCCGACTCTGAGTATATAATGCTTTCACGTTGGCTAATCGATCCCCAGATTCCAGCAGACAAGCCTTGACACTGTTGGTATATATATATATATATAGCAGCCATATGCCAAAATCTGATTTCAACCAAATCAAGTGAATCAAATATAAACATATATAGTGCAATGTGCTTAATACTAAACATCGTTTTCCCCATTTCAGGTTCATATTGAGAATGATGGACCGGTCACCATTGTGCTGAATTCAAGAGACGACAGTACTAACGAATGAACTGTAGTAAAATGTACCTCTATTTGAAAATTTTTAGTAAGACGTGGATGATTTATGACTATACATACGTACTGTAAGAATGTTTTGTCTAAAACAGGAAAGATAGAAGATAGTGAATAAAAATACAGAAAAATATAATAAAACATTGTGTTCGTTAGTAAAGCTTTTAGAAAGGTCGCTGTCGTCAAGCTTCAATTATGATCTGTACATTTGCAATGCGATCATAGACGAATATACTTATCCCTGTTAACAATAACGAAAACATGTCTTTTGTACAAAAAAGAACGCGCACCTTATGAATTGCAATTTAAGTGCAACTTCTATAACAATATTGCTACAAGCCATAATTCTACTAACTTACCGAAATGGTATTAACAAAGTACTGTAGTGGAATACTATCTGTAGAACATTCAATCAACTATGGTATATACTAAAGTCGACAAGCTTGTGTTTGATCGATTGATTTAATGTAAATAGTGCTTTCTTCTCAGCGAATGATAATTATTTTCATCAAATGTGATAATCAAATAATTACTATATATTATATTATTGTACATAGTGTCAAACAAACAAATCGAATATTTCTAGTTCAGTACACCGATACACTCGCAATTGTAAACATTTCAAATAAACAAAACAAATAAACAGCGAAGCAATTTTATTAAGCAAATTAATCGCATCTAAAGATATTTATATGCACAAATATCAACATAACCAAAAGAAGTTGCAAATGGCGATAGACTACCTTATATGAGAAAAAAATTATTTGACTGTTTATAAAATACATTATAGGTGAAATACCACAAACACAGCTCCATCTGATTACTAATATGCCTAAACAATTTGATTTTGATCTATGAGAAAAACGAGTGATGTAGATTCTCGCGTTACAACCAGAGTTTTATTGGGGAAGTCTCAGATCAGAAGTGTGCATGTGGCGACAAATTAACACGGTAAATTCGAAAAGAAGAAAAAAAAAACAGCAATTATTTTGACACGGAGTTCTACGTTATTAAGTATACACACAGGCACAGTGAAGCTCAAAAGCGCCTCACTGGTGATTGTGTTTTGCACGGAACTGACGCAAAATGCATGTGGACTTAGGGTGAGGATTTTATAATCTGTGTGTCAGATGCGGAATGATTTTAGGATGTAAGGCAGTAGAATCGAAATAATGTGAAAATGATTCGAGTCATCGATTGGCAAATGAAATGTTACATTAAGGCACTCCTTCTGTTCTTAAGAAAGAATTATTGATTATATCAGTGTGCTGATTTTAGCCTTCCAGTTAACAGTTGTTTTCTAATATCCATATATAGTTGGATACACAATACCTGTTTCAAATAGCGTCAATGCCATTTGATAGAAATGTTACTTGCATGATAAAGAGAAATTTACACAAAACGTTACGGCTCATTTCTTACATATTGAAGCCAAGAAACTTGGCACACAAACGCGCTACTGAGTCGTTTGGTCTTTCTCAACCGTATTCTTCGCTCAGGTTTTTCTCTTCGTTAATTTTGTATAATGCTTAAAGTAATAAAAGGTTTGTCGGACGGCCAATGCGCGTTCGATTAAGGCTAACCTGTTTAAGTTGCGGTCAAATTCATATTGAATTCGATTCTTCGACATCTTCATTGGGTACCTACGATCCGACACAGATGCCTTGCATTTGACTTCTACACACATACACAACCGGCTTACATAAGTACATACACACACATGCGCTCACTCACTTGCCTACTCTAACATACCATTAACAAATCAACCCTTCGCATCAACAGGTATTCTCCTACCGAAAACATTCGGACAATTGAATAAACTGTCTTGACTGGCCAGATTAAGCTCTTGACTCCGAGTCGCCCTTTGATTGTAATCGGAGTAACCTAGATCTCTTAAGTATCGTAGTTTTGTCTGATCTTTCAAGACTATTTACGCTCACTCAAGAGTGTCAACGGGAAGCCACGTATATTGATGTTCTTTTTGCACGCCGGAAGTACGTCAAACAACGTTCATGGACGATACACCCTGCTTACAGTCTTTGTGCGAAGTCATCCGTCTATGTCTGTTAGTTCAAACATATTTCAGGGACAGCTTTGCACTAATACTGAATAGCCAAATATTTTTGTACATTGAAAACATGCACTAAACGGGCTAACATCACCGGGATGGTTATATGTTGTCTCAGAGAACGTTGTATAATACTGGACAAGATCAGCGCTACGATTAGATACTATACTTTCGTCTTACCATGTCTATGTGAGACTTAATTAGATCTCAAGACCACACGAGCTTAACAGGGCGCTTCCTGTATACATTGATATTATAAAAAAAACGGTAGCCGTTGATGGACGCCAATCTATTTTTTTAACAGAACTTAAATACCATTAGAGGAATGTTTTATGGCTCGCGTATAGTTATGAGGAGTCTCAGTATCGCTGTTTAGCAAATTGATTCAAGGACCCCCTACCTTGGTAGAGGATTCAAAAAAGCATCTGGAGGAATCGAGCAGAAAAGAAAACATCACTATAGTGTTATTCTCTTAAAGGTAGTCAATGTCAGTTGACATTGCCGAAAACAGGATGGTAACGTAATGGTCGCAGATTGTGGACAAGTGCTCTCCAATTTTGTATTTTGGCGCGTTAAGAGAGAGGGTAGTTGTTTTTAGAAGTACATTTAAACAATTGCTATTTTTGCTTATGTAATAAACAATGTGTGGCTATTACGTGATATTAGCGTAGCTTTTTTATATCACCCGAGTTGCACAGCCAACAGCTGTGTAAAACTCGCAATGTAACTGTGCAAACTATCTTTAACTTGTTTAGGTGAGGAATTACTCAAGGAGCAACAGTCTTTTGGCGCTTGTAGTGAGTAAGAATATGTAAGTTCCTATTTATTTTGTTTTAAGATAGTAAGTCTCCATGATAGACTAGTGGGTGACGTATTTGCCGACTAACCTTTCAGGGACACGTTGTGGTGTGAGTTCCTAGGCATTCCAGGCATGGACAGACTTCGTTGCGTGATGGGAGCCAACCAAGCGTCTGGGAGAATGTCTAATGGCAATACTGGACGTAAGAGTCGAAACGTAAGGGTTAGTAAGTATAGGTTTCACTGGTCCTTCCCTATTTAATTGGATATTTATACTGTTCCTATTGGTTCGCTATTCTTTTTGTGTTTTTCTTTATTTAATTTTTTTGTTAGCTTCAGAAATTTTCCATCGATATTTACAAAATGCATTTTTTCCAAGATAGGGTTGATTAGAAAATCTGACTACTCTTCAACTATTAAACAGGACTAATTTAGCAGGCAGTAGATTTTCCGCCAAATCGCCATTTATAATGGCCTCCCGTTATTTCAATTAATTTAGTACATTCTAAATAGATCTAGATTTGTTTATTCAGTCAGGCCTGTTTCATTAACTGACTTGTACCCTGTCAAGGCTAATGCCACTCTTACAAAATATGGTCTACAAAAAGGGCCGAAAGGTATTCTCTTCATGTGTATCCCTCTAACAAATTCTCAGTTCTTCCGTATTTGTGTTCTTTGATGCTGAATGATGACAGGGAAGAGTGCAACTAAGCTTAAAGAACTGGAAAATATAAGCTTACATGTTAAGCTTTAAACACTGAACTGACAACGCGTACTACTATACATGTTATTATGGCTTACGATGTCTACACTGCGATTGCTACGCATGTAAATAGGTACTCTGTATGCATATTCGACAAAACAAAAGCAATAGTTGAGTATTAACTTTGTTAACCACTGTTTCGGAAAGCCATTATTGCGCCATCATTGTAGAATAAGATAGAATAATAATAAAAACATCCTTATAAAATAATCGGTGTCCGCATATATACTTAACTTATAAATAGCTATTTCTTTACTGATTTGCGTGCTGTTTCTCGTAGCCTACACTTCTTTCTGTACCCTCCCTCTCCATGGCAGCTGTAAACGATACTCAGTAAATGAGATAAAAGTGCGTCTTTGCTTTGTTCCGTGTCTAGCCCACAATGGCGGTTGTCGAAGTTTTACCTTTTTCGATGAATTGACTCTATTTAGAAACACTTTTATCAAATTAGGATTTGTTTAAACTGCATCCAGCACAATACACGAAAGGAAAAGTATTGTTGCGGTAGAGAAAAATAGAGAGAAGGAACGAAACGGGCTTATATCATGTACGTATGTTCAACGGGGTGCGGGAGAGGGGGCGCTAGTTATGGTTGGCAGGTTACTAGCGACGACACCGTCATGATCATCGCCACCGACGCTTCAGCGTGACGTGATCGTTGTAGAGATTTGACAGTAGCAAATATATGTCCCGTTTAGACGGTCACCGCACCGGCTTGTAGCGGACGCTTAGTGATTATCATCACCACCTAACAACTGTTCTATTTATAGGGAGGAAGCAACAGAAGCAGCAGTAACAACGGCTATAATAGCCGACTACTCGCGTCCATTGTCTGTTAATAGAGGGCTGATAATAACGTATTGTATTGTGGGTGTGTGACGACGAGCATTCCATTGAAGTGACGGATCTAAACAGGCCAAACTCGAAGATCGTATTAGAAAGTATACCATAGAAAGTAAACATTGGCATCAACATTTCCGCAGATAAAAGCACAACACGTGGGAACCTTTCTCAAATATCTTTTAGGTAATCAAATTGGACAAGCCTTGTGCATCATTTGTGAGCAATTGATTTTTTCAAACTAAAATTATGAAAAAGGCACTGCTATTTTCAGGATTTGCGGAGCAAAAAGACAGACTTTTCGAATAATTTTGTTACTTTCAGGCGTCCTAATTTTGCCCTTTGGTGAAATGTCTTTCCTCAACCTTTCACGGCGCGCACTTTGAGCTTGTATGACGAGTTGCATATAATGATAATTATCATAACAATAAATGCTACGAGGAGCTTCTCAAGCATGCCAATAGAAGTTATCAGCGATAAAATCCGAAAAAGCATTTATTTGGGTACCAACAAGATAATGCTATACGAGACCTTTTTAATTGCACGAAAATTCATATCCTTTCTAGTTACGATAGCATAAAAGAGATGGCCAGAAAAAAGGTGATATTACTTATTTTGCGTTGCTCCTATAGTTTCACCTGGTTTCTGAGTCATTAGCGATCCTTTGATATTTCTAGATCGACAGGGACTAAAACTAATTCTCTTAACGTTAAACAAACATTAAGTAGGTAGACTTAAGCTAAAATGCACCTGTTTATCAGAATCAACTTGAAGTGCTTCAGCTGTGACTTCTAGAATTGTTGGTCACGATGTTCTGCAGTACAGGCTCATTTCCACTTGTAGATCGTTGTACTCCTCGAGCTGGCTTTCCTAGTCGCTCTTCGTCTTCGCCTCCACGAATCGGAACGAAGTGCTTTTCATAGTAAGAGAAATAAAGGCTCCATTAGTTTACATGATACTATAAAAGGACAATGACAACAACCGTATAACTAATACCTCCGACACCAACAGCGATAGTACAGCGATAGCATACAGCAAGGTAGATAGATAATTAGATAGTTGGAAATGCGCGATTCCCAAATTTCATTGGTCAGTGTCGATTGCTTCGTGACACTCAATAACACGAGCTCATTCGAAGGTTTCTAGTATGAACCGGCCCTATATGTGAGCATTTGAAGGAAAGCGCCGTAGTCAATATAACTATACACATACACTTCGAAAGACATTAACGAGCTGCAGAAGTTATGAAGTGGATCCGGCTGTCTTCCGAAGACGCAGTGAAACAAACTCCGCATACCAAGCGCGAGCGAGATGCTGGTGACGATGAGATCCTCTTCCCGCTTGTATTAGAAACGCACCTATGGCGCTACTATAACTAGGTACGGCTACCTAAGCTCGAATGCATCAAAAGGCATTTATGAACTAGTATCTAACGAGTTCTCTTGCCGTTGACTAAAATGTACGTTAAACTCAAACGCTGTAGAAAATTTTTATTTAGATGCGTATGAAAAAGCTGACTGCAGTTACTATACAAAATCATGCAAAGAACCCAATCGGGCAAATTGGTAAAGAAAAACTCTTTTCCTCGAACGTACTTGTAGAAAAACTTTTATTAACTTTCTGTTAAATATGCCAAATTTCAGTACGGCCGTCACTGTTATTATGAGTGGCATATGGCCTAAAATTTCATATGGAGTGTCGATTGAACATTCGACGCTTCGTCTGCTGAACGAGTTAAATGACAAATATGGAATTAGTTGTTAGTAGCGGCTAGGATGAATGTGCCCATGCCGTCCCTTCAAAGAAATAACACTGCTCCTTATTAAATCATAATGTTAATAGTCAGATTAGAATCCTTTCATATTAAGGAAACCCTTAACTAGTACTGATACAGTCAATACAAATAAGATTCTTTTTAGTTGTGTGGGATATATATGCGTATATAGAGGCTGCTATCTCATAATACTTTACTTCAACACTTCAGTGGATATTTACAAGGTACGCCTATGTATTGTTACTGTTTTGGCAGCGGCTCGGTCGCCTAATGCGCACCTCTACCTCAACGATTACTTTCCTCTATGGCCCTTCAAACACTGAAATCTAAGTATTGTTAGTTTTTTTTTTCAAAGGTGACGTAATGGCGACGTCGCTCCGGCTGTTCTGGTCAAGTAAGCCAAAACGCAAATTCTAGAAAGACCCGGAAAGCTGACTATGGCCTCCATAGTGTATAGGGATCCTTCTGTCTGTGATTCTGTGGTGACAAATAGCAAAATGGATATAACACTGTTCAACAAAGACCTTGCAGCTGGTCGTCAGGTGATCAGTTGCTTGGTATCGAAGAGAATATGAAGTTCCTGTTTATGAAATTTTTGCGGCTGTTAGTATTATCGGAACGAATATACGCACTCACGACAATTTGACTTTTACCTCGTGCAGGAAATTTTCGAAAGGACAGCGAATAAATGTGAAAATCTTGATGAGAAACCAATGCGAGACTTTCGTTTGGGACTAGCTTATGCTTATCGTTTGGGAGAGTTATGCTGATCTCAGAGCATCAAGCAGAGGACCAAATCAGCTCACCCAGTGAAGCTCACGACCGGAACCCTAGTGGGATGCTGTAACGGTTTTAGTTAACTTGTTACACTCAATGATAGTTGTTAGGTTAAGGTGAAGCTTTCGCTTACTATTATCTGATCTAAACATAATCAACTGCATCATTCAGGATATTTATAGACTATTGAAAGTATCGCCTGCATATGCATCGACGCAGGAAGGTCAAGTATTTTAAATCCGCAGATTACCCATCAATAAAAAAACAGTATTATCTTTACCTGTCTTGGCCAATTCAACTTTTGAGCTTTCGTTAATTTTTTTTTTTTTCATTTTCTGAAGTCTAGATATACTCACATTGTTCGTAATTTAGGCAAGGGCTGTTCTACGACAGCAACGTTTGTGCATTTTGCCCGGTTTAGATAGCTCAACGCACCCGCCAGGGTGATAAAATACACAGTCGAGAGGTGCTGAAGCAACTTGTTGCCTAATAACTAACCCATAAATATACAATAAAGATCATCTATGTATTTTGAGATAAGTTTATGGCTTTGATGCTTCCGTAAAATCATATACATATTGTCTAACAGTCTAGGTTGACCCAACCGCTGTACGCCTAACCCGTGCCGCATAATTGTATACCTTAATACAAGCGGAGTTGATGACCTTGTGACTCTAGCCGGTATTAAGCAGGCCACATATGTGCCACTTCTTTCACACGTCAATCATTTTCGATGGCAATTGGTCATTACTGTGGAGAGGATGACACTGTCCATCAAAGCTGATAGCCTAGACATATATATCTTCTGGTCAAGTGTTTTTCAGCGTTTAGCGGACGTGACTATAGGAAACTACCGACGTCATCTTTGTGATCATTGATATAGAATTGTTATGATTATTACACATTAGCTTATCTGTATGTTTTTCCAGAAAAAAAAAATGATTTATTCACTGAAACCTACGCGGCATCCGTTTTTTGAGCAGACAAAGACGGGCTTTGAGAGCGAAAAAAAGCAGCTGGGTTAAACATCGATGGCCCCCAGTGCACGTGACAAAGCAATCTCAGCTTGTCGGCCCCTTGTCGGCTGAGTTGTTATGCTGGGAACTTCCTCACGTCCCGTGATGGTTACGTCGACGTAGACGTAACAGTGCAGAGCTTTGTACCTTGCACGTTCATTCACTTAACACTAACAGCTAGTAGAATACACACGAAAAGACGACAGCACATGAGCAGGTGGAATCTATGGTGACGAATGAATACCGTAAGGAAGCCCATAAATACGAGCACTGTTTTAAAGATGAAGTTCTCGTTGAAACGAGGAAACCGCTCATATACGAGATAGATAACCGAAGTAAAAACGCTAGCCAAACAAGACCCTTAGACGATTACTGTGTTTTGCTGCATTATCCACGTCTGGTATCTGTGTTATTATTATTACTAGATGAACATGCATTTAAGAAGATTAAATGCAACGGCGATGGAGAGAAGATCGCGTAGCGGGCGGAGCAGCTTATTTCAGTGGTGGTCAATTCCTCGCCGGTATGCTTCGCTATTGAGGTAATTCGTGATGTCTTGTCCGCGTGCCACTCACAGCACTGCTGCAAAATGTATGACAAATGCGGCTTTATACTCACAAGGAAATCGATCATAACAGAAGTGCTATTACGGAGGCTTCTCGTCATCAGAGTGAAAAGCTTTTCATCTTTGCGCTACGAGCTGAGAGTACAAAGAAAACGTTTGCTCATTGTTTGGCGTTCAAGAAATCGATTTGAAGCGTATCGGTTGATGTTAGTGCTGAAATATGAGTTGCACAATTGCTCTAGAGGAGGATATTGCGTCTCCACACACACGCACTTGAAAAGACCATCGGCACACTGCACTACGCCATCACGCGCGTTGTCCTTCTCTGCTACGCCTGAAATTTTCCTCGTGGAATCCTTGTAAAAATCCTCCATTAATTCTTTAATACACTTTACTTCGCATTTCCAGTAAAGGTGATATCTATTTTCTAACAGTGTTATGGATCATACATAGGAGTCATTAGCTATATTCGTTATCAAGGATCTGACAACAACCTCTATAAAAACTAGTGATGAATGCTACACCCCCCCCCCCGCCCAGGTTGACACGTAAGAATCGAAACGTCCTTAGCTTTTGACACGATGGCCTTACCGTCACGAAAAAGCACGACTGTGGCCAATTATAGTTGCTGTAATTGGTTCAGCGGTACTCATCGCCTGACGGGATGCGCAGGTGACAGTTCTCCGCTTCCATCCGGTAGCAATCCTTCATCGCCCCTACCAGTTTCTTACCGGCCCGTTTCCCCCTTTAATGAGCCATAGAGGCTAGCCAGAACCAGATGCCAGATGATGGTACTATTTGGCGCCCACAAGTCTCTCTACACTGGTCACTCGTAGCGCTATGCTTTCATCTGCGACAACGGCAACCGCAACAGCGCCAGCAGTAGTGCTAATGAGTAATAGTACCGGTAGTAGTACTTCATATTCCTCCTTTCCGCCTGCCGGAGTCAGCAGAGCTGGGCGTCATCTACAAAGAGCGCGCGCATCGAGAAGGTCTCACTAGCAGATGTTCTTGTTGCGACACTCACTCCGCGCAGAGCCTACCGGCGTGCTGAACTCCGGCGTCTGTGCTCAACGTACCGCAGTCGTTCTAAGCGCCTCTTTGAGACCAGCGAGTTTCGGGTTTTTCATATACATACAGCGGATATAAACAATATAACCAAGCTCGTTAACGGTGTCGCTCACGTTCATGTATGTGCTCTGTCAGAAAAAATCCAATGCTCTTCGCAAGTATTTAATGAGTGCATGAAGACGAACATTAGGCAGTGTGTTCGTACATGATTTGTGTGACAATCCTGATATTTTCTGATCTGACCTCTTGTATCAGCTGTACGGTCGGCAATTCGTGAAGAAAAGAAGCGAAGCCTGAAGGCACGCTCTTCTACGACACGCATTTCTACGCTGGCGCAAAAGGCACAATGACAGCCGGAGACAACAGTAATGCGCTGCTTGGCAGGTGGGTTGTTCGATCTAAATTTTCAAAAAATCCCCAGTAGTAACGTCGTTGATTACTTACGAATCCAAGAGCTGAGGCGTGCAGTTAGTTTTAAAGTAACAACGATACTGGCGCATTCCCTCGAACGTAAAGCAGCGATTCTGGTCCACTCTTCATATACGCACGCTCACATATAGATGCTGTTTACCGATTTGAGATCTGGTTAGTGGAGCTGGTTAATGACGGTAGCAGAAAAACATTGAGGGGACAAATGGGAGCGCATCGCTTCCAAGAATCGTAATGGAAAATTTTAACTTCAGTCGAAATTCAAGAGGATGTGGTCTTTTTGTCATATTGAAGTTTTACTAATTGCGCTTTGATTCATACGCAAGATGGCTTACTTTCCCTTGACATTTCATAGACAAAAAGCAGAGATTCTGCAGACAAGATTCTATATTGTCTACTGACCGTTTATTGTTTGTAGAAAAGGCAGTATCGTTCGTTTAAGTTCGTGGACAATATTAATTAAGGAGATTACTAACTTAACTCGGCTTGGACACGTGCAAGTTAGTTAAAACTTTAAGACAGTATATACTAATTATAAATTAATTGTGTAAAGAGATGCAAAGGATTACCGGCAACGTGGCTATTTCAAAATCACGCTCGTCCTTGAAGTCAGCACAACAATGATCGTTGATTGTCTTTGCCAGCCATTTAAAATGCCTATCTGTTGTTCGTTATATTCTTAATACAGAAACACTGTTACATCATCGCAATTGCCGCGATCACATGTGCACATAAACGCCATACCGGGACCATGCTATCTTAGCGCCAAATTAATGAATACACTTCCCGCCTTTCGTTTTGAATAACCTGTATTTTTTTGGGATGCAATGTACGTAAGGTTACAGAAATTCAAGCTAAAATGGAAGTAGATATATCTAACAATAGGTGTCTACCTTTTTGTATTGACAACCGTTGTTCGCGTAGCTACTACACAATGAACGCACAAATGTCGAAAGTGTCGATTGAAGATGACGAAGACTGCCTGCGCAGTCCCGCCTTCGAAGATGAGGGATCCTGTACACAGCTTCGATTGATGTATCCGGCCGCGGGAGCAGTCTTCATGGCTGCCCTAGCTATCGGCGCAGCAATCGGGTATCCCGCAATGGCCATCAGCTCGATAATCGCCGACGCGGCTTTTGGTTCTGCAGTTGGCGCTGCAATGGAAAAAGACTCCACAAACATTGCTTGGTTCAACAGCATTGTGGCACTCGCCGCCTTATTGGGCGCCTTCATTGCAGGTGCGTGATTTACAGACCTCTTATTCCAATCAAGTCAATACGATTCATCAGTGAGAAATCATCTCTTTCCGTTAGAAACGCTACATTGTTACTTTACACGTAACGATTTCTTCATGATTTTTATCAAAAGCCCCACACAAGCCTTAACTGCGAGGTGTACGCTTCTTCACGTCTCCACCATACGAAGGTCGAGATCGTTCCTAAGAACTTTAATGCAAATTGACAGTAATACCTTGTTCCGATTGAGTTATTAAGCGTGTACCAGTTGATGACAGCTACGTTTTTCAGTAATAGCGTAGCTGCCAGATAGCAATAGAAAATCATACTTCAGTGGCGTCTGATGCAGGGTCTCTTAGCCATATGCGATCTAAAGCCGCCTGAAAAGGCCCGCTGAATATCAATGATCAGTTTGTTTTGTCATCCTCAGTAGGTAACTAAATTGTAGCAAGCTCCATGAATCGTTTGTTCACTGCACCACGACGCACTATTCGTTGCATTGAGTTAATGACAAATAACTATTTCGGTGTTTAGCACAAGCATCTGGCAAACTGTTTTTGGTCGCATTTATCAAATGACAAAAGTGTATCTTTATTGATTTACGACAAGTTTATAATCTACGAAGTATTACCTAAAGCGCGTGGTCGTACGCGGATCGTCCGCTGAGCTATAAGTAAAAAAAGCTAAACATAATCGGAAGTGTTTTTGGAGCGTCTCGTGCGGCCACCATTCAGGCGAGTATCAATTAACTAAAACTCCTAATGGCTAGCCAATTCTATGAATGTACTAGGCTAAGCGTCACGACGCTGGTGCACTACCTGAGAAGTTCGGCGCACTCCTTATAATGCGACGGCGGTTACGAGTATTGCTAAAAGCGGCAGCAACAAACGTTGCCACAATTAGACCACCATCATTATGGAAGATTTTGTCCGGCCGTCCTACAAGCACCAGCGGCCGCAAAGAGCACGTTCAGATAGCAGACGGATAATATGGAGCTGGACAAGCAAACGAAACACAAACAGAGCAATCTTTCATATGGCAAATAGTGCGAGCAGAGGAGCTTGCGAACAGCCGGCAAGACGACTGTCTCTAACGATAACAACGACAACAACAGCGACATTAGCTACGGTGACGCCGAGCTTGCTGATGCTGGTGATGATAGTTAAACATTTATTGCTACCGACGTCTCTGTCGACTTTAGCGCTAATGGAATGATTCCACTAGTCCCCTTTTTCAGCCTCGTAACAGCTAGTCTTACTGCTGCTGCTACTGCTGCTGCTACCGGCGATGATAATGATGATAGAGTCATGATACGGCTCAACATGGCGCCAATATCATCATCATCGTGATCATCATCATCATCACCATCATCATCGCGATCGTCGTGATCATCATCATCATCATCACAATCACCATCAGCAGCAGCAACAACAACAACAACAACAACATCATCACTGCGATGATGGCCATCGTCGGCGTTGTCATAGGGATATCCTCAATTCGATATCTGCGTATCTCTTTTTTTCTCGATGTATATGCGGCTGGCCGCCGTTCTCGTGATCCCCTGCTTCATATCTGCGATCCTCCCTTCGTTCATATCTTTCTTTCCTCGTTTCATCATCACCCATACCTGGTTAGGATGATGATCTTTACATGAATGATGTTGTTTGATGACAGTACTGATTATTTGAATTATTTCTAGTTTGTTCGCGCAGCAGTGACGAAGTTCGACTGCTGTGGACTGGTAGCCGGTTGGTAGGGGAACCCATCATGAGCTAAAACTGAAAATACGTATATTGCAACTACACACTTTGTGCGTCCGACCACGCGAGATCCTGCGCTGAATCATTCTCGTAGGCCGGACGTTACATACCGCTGCGGTTGCCCGCCTAAGCGGTACGTGTACGGCGCAACCCGCTTATTGACGCTCCATCCAGGCTCGAATTTGGGCACCAGTTTCCGGGACGTATTGGATTTCTGGCCTGGAAGGAGTGAAGTGGCGGGAAGAAGCGCCCCGTTTTCGTTGGCCAAAGCAATTTTTTTTATCGACTTAATGATGGCGCGACATTTTCGTAATATAAAAAGAAACGGAGAGTAATAGAAGAAAAGCTCACCAGGGATGATCACACGCGCGTGATTTTCAAGCCGTGCAAGCCAACGGGCAGCTGATAACTGAAATCTGCCCACTCATAAGGCAATGGCAAATGCGTAGACTGGATAAAATCTAAATAAACAAATATTGTCACCGGGCAGTGAATGAAGCACCGGATGAATATGAGATCACAAAAATACTAAATGAGATCTTCGAAAGGCCTGCACCAAGGCCAGCGGGTCCCCACCGGCCAAACGCGGCTGTGGGCAGCCAGTTTACTAGAAGTCTAACGGTAGTACAAAGAGAATTAATCTTGCTCCGCAAAATCTACACAAGGACGAGTGGTTAACAGCGGAGACATCAGATTATGGACAAAGAAGCACTGGTCCGAACCCGCAATCAGGTGGTAGAACTCAAGGTCTTTTACCAAATACTCCATGTGCTGACAAAGCTGCTAAATGGAAAGAGTTAGTAGTAGAAAAGGATAGCTTAAAGCCAGCCTACAAAATCGTTACAAACAAACAAAGGGAATAAGCCACCCGTCTACCGGTCAGATTGAAAGTGTGGTCGATCATCTCTTTGCAAGACAGTTTCCTAAACGGACGGGTCATGTAGATATGGATTGGTGAGCAGTGCACCCTTAAGATCAGTGCAGAGCTAATCGGAGCAGTAAGGCAACGACTGGCGACAGATAAGGTACCGCGATAAAGACCCTGTTGAGGCAACGGGTCTTTTGGTCAAGGATGGCCGGACTTATTCCAAATACCGGCAAATAAACTCCTTAGAAAAAGGCGATCCCCTAGGATGCAAAAAGAAACGAAACCGGTGTTAATCCTCAAACCGAAAGACAAAACATCGATGCACTGACATATTTGCTTGCTGAATATGATGGTGAAGGTAGTAAACAGGATAATCATTGCCAGGTTAGAGAAAGAACAGGGCCTTATGAAATTCTTAGAACGAGTTTCGCAGAGGCAGATCTACCCTTGACCAATCCAAAGGATACTTACTCAGTACGGAAAAGGACCTGAACAGGAGAAACTCCGTGTAATTGTATCTTTTATTACAAAAATGCCTTTGGCTGCTAGTCATGGTATCATTATAAAGGAACCTTTAACTTATCCTATTTAGATGGCAAAGAGTTGGACGTGGGCCACGAACGAGGGCAGATCTCAGTAGGAGTCCCCGAAGGATTAGTCCCCGGTCCAACGTTGTAGAATTTAGCGCACAATGACGTACCGGCAATACCTGGTTTACCAGACGGTGTCTAATATGTAGTTTACGCGGACGACCTGGGTTGCCGATCACGACGGGGACTAAATCGAGGCTGGAGGACAAGAGGGATGTCGCCTTTGGACGTGACTAGTACCTGGCTGGAGGAGTATCACTTCAGGATGGTGGCGGAAAAAGTGAGGCCGTCTTCTGGACGGTCAGGGAAAAGGGCACGGATTGGACTACAGGACGCGGGGTCCCGGTCTCATACCTAACAGAGACAAGTGGTTTAACAGATTATTCGGCAAGTTATTATATGGAATTACCTAGGTGTTTACTGGCCATAGCAACATCACACGTTTATGGTGAAAGTCGGCAAAATCCAGATTACCACCTGCGTCATAAGCGGTTTGTGTCTGCTGGATAATTCAGAGCAAATGATCTTTGAATATGGAGTTCTTTAAGACATAAGGCGCGAAATAGAGTGCTGTCACATATAGACAATTAAAGAAATTAATAGCGGCATGATCACGTCACAGAACTCACGGGCCGCTGCGTTTAGCTTTAGAGGTATAACGAGAGAGAACGAAGAACCAGAAAATATTTGAAGAAGATTCGACAATGAACTGTGTCAGAGTAAGAGCAACTGATCATAACCCCTCCACTTGAAAAAAAGATATCAATTGCTTTTCGTTGGCTGTCGCAAGGTTGAAGCGACCTGGCCCATTCTGAGGTACAGCACCCTGTTTATTGTTCGCAATACAGAATTGGCATCGTCTGGCGTCGAAATTTGTATATGTGTGCAATTAACCTGATAGTGATTTGGTTTGTGGCATTGGTAGCACACATTTCGGTACGACAACTCGCGGACATATGTTGGACAAGCGTAGCCTATCTGATAATCGACCGCACTTGGTGTCGGTCCCAGGGGGTATAACGCCGGCTGCCTGAATTAAGGCATTACATTAAGCAGGGTTAATCGGAACAACGATATTCGTTAACGGAACCGATATAGCTATCCTCCTTATACTGCACACAAGGACTTGATAGTAGTAAACGAAATCTAGCTTGTCCCAGAGGGCTCGCTTAACATTATGAATGTTTCGAACATCTGCACTTTAGTCTTCATCAGCTCGAAACCCTTCCGCTAAGCCGACTTTATCTAAGGAAATACGCTCGTTCAATGTCTAATTTAAAAATTTCCTGATTGGCTTGCCATTTAGGAGGAAGACCGCTGCCAAAAAAACAAAGTCTAGGTCTATCATAAGCCGCAAATAGTCCAGAAGGCGGGTGGATTAGGTCGTCCATATTCTCTTAAATTCCATCGCTGCCACCAAATTTTCAACAGTGGCAAATTTTTTGTCAGCTAGACACTGGCGATTAAATGGCCAGCTGGAGAGGATTATATTTACTGGAGAGGAAATACATTTATTATAACTATAATATGTATTTTGTTTAGCTTCCTTGTTCAATACTCTTGTTATCGTTAACATGGTGATTTTAATATTGGCGATCATATCCTTGAGATGGCAACAACCTTTTACTATTGAAGAAGTTCTTCGAAAGAACAAACATTTCTCAATCATTTACAGGCGATTTCGATTAAGCTGACCGGTTCATTGTTACTAATATGAACACCAAACAGGGTCTGCCTTGCGATCGTTATCTTTTTGTAATTGCCCTAGATGTATTATATATACCTCCAGTAGCCCTTCACGCTTAACTAGTCGTGATGTTTTACACTATTAGTTACATAACATAATTCCTTTTACACTCTTATATATAAATACACATGGTACATTGAGAGTACAGATGGAAACCACTTTTTCAAGACGACATCTTCACTGCGCGAAGAAAAAATAAGAAAAGAAAGTGCCTTCCATCGTTTCTAAAATGAATGACCAGAGTCAGTACTTCTTAAGCTGAGACGTCGACACTCCGAAAGCGGACAGTAACAGTACGTAAGATAGTTTTATTTGCAGCATGGCACAGTTGACCCATTGTGTGCCAGGAACAATTTTAGCCAAGATCAGCTTATGCAACCCCATGTATTGGACATTTCCAGCAGACAATGTTAAAGCAACCATACCATTAATTATACTAATTCAATAAATTTCCAATTAGATTTAAATATGCTATGTTTTGTGTATACATTGCTACGAATACCATTTGAACTAAGGTAAACACTATGATTAACGAATTTATCTGTACTTTGGTTGTACAGATACTTGTACTTAAACAGAAAATTCTATAAGTAGACAATATAGCCGAAAGTGCTAATTTTCAATGAAACTGGTGTTTTTTTTTTATACGCTATTGGCGCTCGTCGGCGCATTGTTTGTGTCTGTTCACTGGTCTTGGTACGTCTGTTGGTTTAGCTGACCGTGCTAGGGTCTTTCATACTTCTTCTTAGATGAGAGGCCGTTTGCGCAAGCTTTGTGTGGCCAGAACAGAGTGGCACTGGCCGGTCACGGCAGACGGTACGGGAAGACGATCTTGAATTGGCAAACAACCGTTGTTTGCCAGATCTCAATGAGCGGAAAAGTACAGGAACCTGATTTTACCTCTCAGGCCAAGGTAGCGTTGGAAATTGAAAGCAAAGACATCTCGTAAGAACGCATCAATTCATTAGCATCACAAACGACCCGGTTTGCTACAACATACGCACTTCACATTTTTATAGCATTGCAATGCTATGACGTACGAGCTATAAGATGAATGTTTACTTGATAAAACTCTGTTAATAAATTGATTGCAAACATGTCCGTAAATTATTGACTGGAAAACTTACGGAGAACCAAGCTGAAAACCAAGAAAGTCAGCGAAAACGGCCAGCTTTAGTCGACCGTGGTTTTAATAGGGTCGCAATGTTTCAATCTCAGGACGAAGAGTCGACAGACACTGCGTATTAATACCCAGCTACGTACACGCACCAACAAATTCAACTATTTAGCATGCATTAGACTCGTGTCTTGCCTATTTACGCCAGCCTGGGCGTCATTCAGTGTAGACGTACTAAATTTAGACTTCTGTTTAACGTATTTAGGTGGTATTCAAATCTAAGATACCGGACGTTAGATATTGTTACTGCATAATTTTAGGACCTTTGGCGAACTCGACGGGTCGAAAGCCTACGATCATTATTGCTTGCGTCCCTTTTACCATCGGTTGGATATTAGTTGCTGTAGCAGAAGACCTTTCGGTGTTATTCGGAGGACGTATTCTTACTGGAATATCAACTGGAATGATTTGTGTCGCTGGACCTATCTACATCGTGGAAGTGTCTTCTCACTCAGCTCGGGGCCTTCTTGGAGGTCTCTTCGGAGGAATCATGTCAACTGGTAAGTACTACATTGCAATGGTATTCACATCGGTGTAGAACATTACAATACATAGGAAGGGAAAAGCGACGTGTTTCAATTTCTCAGAAAGTACAAGTAAGGTAAACAGAATTCCGCGCTTCATTTAAATTGCACTCTTCTAGACTAGAGTTTCGTATTTTGCAGGTATCCTGCTCTGTGGAATTTTCGGAGGCCTAGTTCTAGAGTGGCGTGGCTTGGCGTTTCTAAATGCAACTCTTCCGGCTCTGACAACCATTGCCTTTCTCTTCCTACCAGAGTCACCTAAACTGCTGGTCTCGAAAGGAAGGTGAGCATCCATTATTATGTTGTTTTTAAAAAGCTATAAGTTTCAGTGGTGGCTAAGACCCCAACGAAGCTAGTATCGCAAATCAGTTCCATGTTCGTGTTTGAGTTCAGAGATCCGCGCAAAAAATGTTTACGGAAATCTTCCTCACAGAAAGGAAGAGCCATCTCAAAGAGAAATTTGTGTATAAAAAAAGATACAAATTTTTTTTTTTGCACGTTTTTGAAGCGAGGGTAAGGAATAACCCACTAAACGTGCGAGCGCGAGTAATAAAAAGGGTGTAGACGTCTTCGAGGAAGACGACGGGCGTTATCTGAAACATTTGGGTATTAAAAGCTTGATGAAGAAGGTAGGAATGGGCCACTAAAGTCGGAGGAACACTTTTAGTGAAGGATCCTCAGGTGTCAGGGGTTGAAAGCTGTGAAGCACTCTTGGCCTAATTTTGGTTGAGAGAAATTTGCAGTTTATGATAGATTGAGAGATCAGTCAGAGTATGGAATGGATTTTGGCCGTATGCTCTGATAAAATATAGAACTAAAAGCTAAGCATGTTTACAAAAATGTTTACTTCATTAATCACTTATGATGTTGCTACAGTGTATACGCATCAGGGTCGGGTCTGTTTTTCTTTGGTAGATCAACAGCTGGTTATCCGGGCGCATGTAAAACAAAAGAATAATAAAAAAAGAAAAAGCTTTTAGTAATTGCTGCATCCACATAATATAATAGTTTTACAAGAAAGGTACGGACTTTTTGTACGGTACGGTACGCTTATGAGCGGTCAGACTAAAAGGCTCAAGGAGGCCTAGCGATAAGGTTATAATATATGATAATAAGCGCGTGGACGATGTCTAGGCACCTATATTGAAAGACAACTTTTTTGCTCTAGAGAGCCAAACTCGATCAAACTCCACCGAAAAGTCAACAGTACGGGTAGAGAAGCTCACGCGATGTTTCAGCGTTTTGTTTAACGTGTCGTCAACAACCGTGCAGGCATCTCCAATTGGAGATTACCTAAGAGAAAAGAGACTCGATCTAGGTTGCTGATTGGCACTTCAGCAGATTTTTGTTACTGGATCGTAAACGGCTGAGAGAAATCGACATTTACTGGCGTAATCCACTATCGAAGTGCTCGCAACGAACCCACCTGTCTCTCATGTAATGTATTTCGAATCAAGGAACTCTATACGTTGGCGCCTTGCTTAGAAGTCACTTGACTGTGGCTATGCACGACTCACGGCCAAGGGTTCAGATAACAGACCCGAAGCAAACAGCTTTGGCAAGTTTACTAAGCACAAACAAATTTTGAAAGCGTTTATGTGCATTTTTTCTCATTCCAAATCGACCTGACGTCAATGAGTACAAGCTTACCCTTTAAAATACGTGTTTAAAATACGCAACCGGTGGGGTCAAATCTCATCGTAATAGCCTACGTTCGACGATATATACGGACATGCTTACCAGGCCTAGGTGAGTGCCCTCCTGCCCGCCGTAATCTGCCAAGACAGGATGTGCCTTCTTTATTGGCTCTTATTTTCTGCGAAGATGCTGTAAACAGATTTATCGGACTGAATGAAGAAAAAAGCATTGATACGAAGGAAAGTGCTCTCTAGTTCGAAGCGGAACAACATTTTTACGGATGGCTACAACAGTCTAGATTTTCTCTGTGCCCTATGGGATCAGACTGCTCATTTTCAGCAGACGTATGCTTTCAGAAACATTATACCATTGCGTGAGCTGAGCAAACAAGCGAGATGAGGACTACAATAGCCGTCGACATCACGGTCGGTAGGGTGATAGCAGCGTTTCTGCAGCCCAAGCTTAACAAGTGACAGGTTTAGGTCAGATAAGGCCTGAGTACATTAAAGATGTGACAGTGCTAGTCCCATACAGGACTACCATTTACAACGCTTGTCTTCGTAACGGAAGGACACCGAACGACTGGTAGGAGGCACTTCGTCCCGTTACCCGGAGAAGACAAAGGCAATCACGAAGAACAAACTTGTGCAGGGCAATTGCTAACAACAAGGTAACTTCAGCTTTATTTCTCACGTGTTTCTGGAAAGCTTCCTCGAAAAAAATGGAAAAATCAATACTAAATGCGTACTAGATTCTGCTTGCCAAGGTAAATCCGTTATAAACTATGAGGCACCAAATAGTTCATCTACGCTGTATGGATCGGTTCCAAAACGGCATTCTACAAATTTCATCAAAGGTCACTGAGACAAGAACGTCCTGCAGATTCATTGCTCAAAAGAGTACTACGCCTACATAAATTTCGTCGTAACCATTACGTGCATTTGCTAGCGGACACGCCGGTATTCATAAAGGATCTTTAATGGCAGTTGAGCGTAAGGGAAACGGTTACAGTTTTTGTCATTGGCGCCATAGTGGACGAAACATTGAATAAACTGCACAAAAAAAACTCGACATGTTGAAATGATTATGTTGTTTGTATACATATATATATATAAATATATGTTTGTATACATATATATATAAAGTTGAAAATATATAACTTGTTAATGAATCATATATAGTAGTTGCAAGATTCTGGGCAGATAACTAACTGGCTTTCTATATGATTGGAAAAAATGTGAACCTATGTATAACTGCATTTATATAATTATGTTTATTAGTATGAATAGAGTTGAAGCTTTTTTTTGATAACTAATTGTGTTTTTTTTTTTCGTTAAAAATAATAGCAGACTTTGCTCCCACGAATTAAGCAATGCTATCGGCCATCGGCAACATACATTTTAATGGTGGCTTTTTTTGCAGGATATATAATATGATTATCATTTGTAATTTTTCAGATTTGATGAAGCGGTTCAGGCTATGAAAAGACTGCATGGTAATCGTATCGATGCCCGACTTGAGGTCTTCGTCATGAAAGATCAATGTGAACATCATGAGGAATTTTCAATGCGGGATATCTTTTCGAAAGCGACGCTGAAAGCTGCTGGAATCGCAATTTCTCTAATGTTGTTCCAGGGATTTTCTGGCATAAACGCTGTCATCATGTACGCCGTTCCCATTTTCCGCACGGCCGCACCATCAGTAAACCCGATTTACTGCACGATCATGCTGCAGGCCTTACAGGCCTTATTTAATGCCATTGCTTCACCCATCACAAACCGCTTTGGTCGGAAAGTTCCAAGCGTCATTTCGACGTTGGGCGTATGCGTCTCGCTCAGCGGGTTCGCCTTTTACCAGCATTCGAACACGGACAGTCATGTCTGGGTACCAGTGCTTTGTTGCATGACTGCTGTCATTTCATTCGCAATTGGGTTGGGCCCCTTGCCGTGGCTCATCGTGGCCGAAATTTCACCCACAAGAACCGCGGGCCTGATTTCAGCTTTAGCCACATCAACAGCTTGGGCATCCTTCTTCATCCTTATTCGAACCTTTGATAGTCTTGTGACTGCGCTGAGTTCGCCTGTGGTTTTTTGGATATACTCGGGCTGGTGTTTTGTCGGCGTTCTATTCAGTATTTTCCTTCTGCCCGAAACGGCCAACAAATCCCACTACGAAATCCAAATGATGCTAGAGGGGCGAACTTTTCCCAAGGAACTTGAGAATGAAGGAGCCCGTGACAGCCCTAAAGTTCTCGTACACAATGAACAGGATAGCTGTTAAGCAGGCCAACTCCTGAGATCCTTAACCAGGTGTTTTCCCTTTAAAACTGGCTGTAAACACTAAATACTATCAACATTAGATCTGTTATTTTGGATGTATATCTCATAGATAGATACATTTGCTGTTCTAAAGCAGCCTGGGAGAATTAACGTTCAAACCCAATGAAAATACATAGAGAAAATATTCGCAGAGGCAAAAATTTTTACCCGAGTATCTTCTCATAATACTTGCTATATGTCATTATCTCATTAATGGATAATTAATATGTCGACAATAGACAATGAAACACCTCCACTTCCTCAGTAAACGCGTACCTTTAGTAAGTTCTTTCTTCGAGAAATTCGTTTGAAACTACTTGTACGCCAAATACCTGCAATATTCATCTGACAGAGTGTTTCAGTGTGTTGACTGTCTCAGAAGTCGTACATTTTTACAATGCATACATCATTCGCGAATGAAGAACATCAGGATGAAGTCGAACAGATGTTGACGTAAAGCTCGGCTAGATCTGACTCATAGAATAGCATTATTTATCAATCAGTTTAGCATTAATTTTCAAATGTTAAATCCAGCAAACAGACGTACTACGCTGCTAAAATGTTTTTTTTTTTTTCTAGTGGCTTTTATCGGTTTTCAGTAACGCTATCATAGAAAATCGTTTGGCTAGGAGAAGTTCCCATTTGAGTGGATATTGCTCCAGTCTGTAAATAGTTGCATACTCATGACCTCTAGCACGATCTGAAGTTGTACCAAAAACCTTCATAGAAAAAAGTGGTCTCGAGCGGCACTTTTAAACGTAATCGAGTCCCTGATTTATGGCTTACCTCAGGATTCATACAGAAAAAAAGCCGCAGAGATACAGGTCGAAATTGAACAAGCGACATCCAAAGGGGCATATCAGGCTTTTCGTCTGAAAGTTTTTCCGTATTACTTCTTTAAACAGTCGTAATTCCATATTTGTATTGATCATATAATCGATAAACTATACAAGTGTTGCTTCTATACGCTATATTTTAATAATCTACTATTGTGAAACAGTGACCAAAGTGGTTTAATGCCTCTCGTTGACCTCTTGTTTCATTAGATAAGTAAGGTGCTTCTTATCTAATTATGGATATAATAAGGTTGGGTTTTAAAAAAAAAAAAAAACATTCATTCCGTTCGTTGAAAATGCAAAGTAATATTTTTTTACTGTTCAAGTGTTGACCCTAATTTAGAGTATTTGCCTTGTGCAATCATAATTTGAATGTGTGAGCCGAAAAAATAAGTTCCATAGTCCTGATTTTATCGTTTATAACAAGTAGTTGGCCGCATTATCTAGTAAGTGCCTAATAAAATGGCTGTGACAATTTGTAGTACGTGAATCAGATACGTTGCAATGATTTTTACAGTTTTCAGCGTGCCGATTTCCTGTATAGTTACGCATGCTTCATTTCCCAAGCTTAAAAGCTAAATCTGTACGCTTCTATTAGACAATGTTGATTGAATTTATAATCGTACCCGAAGACATCCGCTCTTTTAATACAAACAAACGATTTTCTTCTTGAAGAAAAATTCTTTTAGAGAGTATCTACTATTTGCAGAAAATAAAAATTTCGTTGTATTATCGGCTCAGTTATTTAAAATGGTTCGACTGTAGCCGTCTAGGAGGCTGCGTATCAGATTCATGTTGATGTTTCATTATTTTTTTACATGATTTTTTCGCGTCGCTGATGAGAGACGACTGAAGTGAGAGTTTTCTAGATGACTATTTTTTATCCGTAGTGGTACCTAAAGCCTTTACTTCGTCGTATATATATGTACATAAATTTTAGTTAAACACCACGAAAAAGTGCAAAAAACGTTGTATATAAATGAATATACATATAAAATAAAACGCTACGAATCAGTGCTAAGAAAATCGACAATACCAGGCGTCTTCCATTCCTAAGCTTCTGTGGCTTCATGACTTGAAAACTAACCATGCATCATAGAGTTTCAGTACTCAGACGCCTTAGATACATTACCTTTATTTCTTCACTTCTCACCTCCATCTTTTCTTTTTACCTGTAGAATAGACCCTGCTCCCTTGAAACAGCAAATGGAACTACCGTCAAGTGCTGTTAGAGCGTAATCGAGTAGCGCTCATACCGAATCAATCCTTATCTTGAACCTGCTTTCCGATAATAAAAACGACCACTGAGTTAATACCAGAACATTGAATTTTCTTTACCGCCCTTTTCGTTGCCGCAGCGTTATCTGGTTATCAACTCTATGACGATAATACATTCCCGCTTTGCTTGTTATTAGCATTTTGGCAATAATTTCATTTTATTTGAACAAGCATGTTATAAACACTCTATGGCAACGTTCTGTGTGAGCGAAAAAAAAAACACATTATAGCCAAAATTCATAGCGTTTAGCCGGTCAGGAGGCGTATACATATATATATATATATATATATATATATCTATGTATAGAGCACACAAAGTATACTTCCCATACACAATGTTTTCTAATCGTGCAGTATCACAAATACAACAGATCCTTATGATGTTACTGAGCAGACGACAGCATTTATTTGACTTAATAACGTTGATCAGTCAACGGAACTGTTTATTTGTCTTTTATTTTTGTCGCTCTTTCAGTTACTGAGGTATGACCGCAAGCCGTATCGAATATTATATAGCCAGGTTGACAAGCAGGAACTGCGTGCCCTTCGGGTACTATAGAGAATCACTCGGTCAACACTAGACGCCGATGTCCTTAAGGGTTTTGGTCGTAATCGTTCTGATAAATTTCTACAGGAGAACGGTTTGCGTGATATCATCCATTTTGCTGAAATAGGAATCATCATTGCATCATTTATTGCAAAATGTGTAAAGAGTATGCTCGTATCGTCCAGAAGTTTACGCGAAGCATCAGGCCTCCACTGCAGTGAAACGCCAGTCGTAACCGAGAGAAAATCACTTAGATGTACAACAAACTTTTATCTTAGTTAACTTGATGTCTAGAAACCTGACCAGTTCCGGAAACCCTTGTCTAATTGTGTAAGTGAAAATAAGCAAACCTCTACACGTCGAGTGGAGCAGTCCCGAAGCTGCCAGCTGAGTTATTTCCAAACATGGCGCATTGTAGCACGCTCTTTGCACATCTTCGACACAAAGGTGTTCCTAATGCCAGCTCGAAACCCGTTCCTTGCAAACGATGAACCCTAATGTAACAGAAGTGCACAATCGCAAAACTTTCGTTTCAACCATTGTATAATGTTTGCTATAATCTACTCTTATATTGCATCAATACGCTTTCTTAACAATAGCCGAGGGTGAGCTCCCTGGCGGAGAGCTTTCGCATTATGTCGAATCACAATGACATCAACCACCTGTACAAGTTCTTCTTGACCAAGACCCTCGGCCAATTTGTCAGCAGATTTTCTATGTAAATAGAAACAATGATCTGTTCTACTTTAAAGAAGCTTTCGATTTTACCTTTCGCGCACGAACAGTGACCTTTACCGCCGAACGGGAACGGCTAAGAGTTACGTTACTTAAAGGGTTACATTACACGTGGTATCGCCAATAAAAATGGTGTTTCATTTCATACGACCTACGTGAAACGGGATACATTGACTCAAGCGACGCAAAAATGCCCTGGCATCCAAAATGGCACGGTCTTTACGAAACCCTTTTTCGATGTAAGGCATATATAGCTCATGCGTCGATAACCTGACCGCTAATATCGCTGACCGCCTCATTTAGCTTTGTTAGAAAACTTATCAAATGAAGAAGGCTACAAATACTTGTTTTCCTAGAAAACTAGAAATGAAACTATCTTGTCGCTATGATGTTGCATTGCTTCGAGTATACGTACACGTTTATTTTTTCGAAGTAAAAAAATAAAAAATCCAAATGTCTGACATCATCCTACTTGACGAAAAAAAAAAAGGCGATGTGACAACATCGTCTTGAATGTTCAACGTAAGAACAAAATAGAAATATCTTGTATACAAATAAGTGTGATCAAGCATTCTAATCAGCCTAAATGCCTTCGACATGTTTCCCCTGATCGAAACCAAGAAAGCCTACGTGTTTTTGTTAATCGGAGCCTGATATAACTAAAGTTACCTTAACTTCGCGAGGTAGTTGAAAGCGCTTCGAAGTTTTTCAGTTTATTGAATGACACCTTTTGCTGTTTGATGAGGTGCGTATACCTCAGGAGCACATAAACACAGCTAAAAAAAAAACAATTCGCCATCGTATCAACATCACGAAGAGAGAAAGTAACTTAAACAACGACAGCCAGTTATCGCCTTCTATCTAGCTGTAGAGTGGCTATGTGTAGACGTTTCACCTATCACTAAATCATTTTTAAAACGACCGCGCGATAGCGAAAAGTTAGCCAAGTCATTTAATGGAGAAAGTTTAGAGCGTTTGAATTGAAGCAGTAATTTACTAGATATTAGCTTACATCAATGTATTTAGTCTTGCCTCGTATCATATACTCGTGAAATAAAGTTGATACGGATTTATTAGAGCCATTCAATTAAGTTACCATTTAATCAGCTAGTTACTGTGATCGCCCCAAAAACGTTTTGACTTCACTAGAACTCTGAGCATAATCCGTCAAAGACTTTTTTCAGTTCCGGATCCAAATTGCGTCAAACTTTCCGACTGATTTTTTTCACGGATAATGCTAAATGTAAGAGACTAATGGGACATGGCTAGGAGCACAACCGGAATAAAAGACCAATGAAAAAATCATTTTGATTTTACGTGGTCACTTTAGCTATGCAGCATAAACTAAGCATCTAAGATCCTTCCTTGTCAAGCGAAATGTGACATGGGTGTCTTGTGAAAAGAATACATCTTCTCATGCTCAGTGGTCAACTTCCTATTTCTATTTAGCAGAGAAAATTCATCATGACCGGTGAGGAGCTCTGGTAGAGCAAAAGCACAGTATGTGGATGGTGCAAACGTTTCAACAACGGAGATTCGAGTGTTGAAGGCCAGCGAGTGGATAAACAAGTGTCAGAACCCGAAAGATAAGAAGACATTGCCGCAGTCGAGAAGGCCTTCCGCAAAAGCGAAGCTTGGAATCCAAGCGCTTTGTCGGCCAAAACCGGCATTCCGCATATGATGTATTGCAGAATTATAAGCCAATACTGAAAATGCGGGAGCTAAATTAAAAAATAGCCCCCCTGAAAATGAATTAGTCTGTTGCAAGCGCGTGCGTACTTTGCACCCGCCTAGAACGAACGATTCCGATGGACGAGGCATACATTAATCTCTACCGCAAGCCGGAGAGAGAATGACGTTGCCCTGGGGAAGAATCGAGTTCAATGGCAGTGTCGAGTAGACTCGGACGTAAGATTATGGTAGACTTGCAGTGGATGCCAGTGTATCGACTACTATGAAATACACGCCAAAAGTAACACAATAAATTCAGCCCTCTATCTCGAGTTCCTCAAAAGACTAATGTACAATTGGCAATCGAAAGCACACAATCACCGTACTTCAATATCACTTGCCGGATTAAGTACAGGAATACCCAATAGTGACTTTAACTCGCCGACCTTTCCGATCTGGGTCCGTGTGATCACGGAGCTTTTTATGCCCTAAAAAGGGCAGCTGGTGGGCAAGCGATTATACTTGTCGATTATCGATTTACTTTGAGAGGCCGTAGATAGGGAAATAGCATATGAGAATGTGAGTAGTAGTTATGTGGCTATCTAAAACCCGCCAGAGCGCATGGAAAAATATAGGAGGGTACCTTTATCACATATCAATTACCATTCTAGCCCAGCTAGGTCGAATTTTTCGATGTTAATTTACCTGATGTAGCTCCTTGTCGTGCAAAAGATCCGACAACTGCATAAGCATATAATTCATTTAAGGCTAATCATGAAAAACCTCTATAGACAAATGCATATTAGTAGAAGCAGCCCGTCAAATCTGTTCGTACCAGTCAATAGTGTTCTTTCATCACGCTTAACAGGGATTTCGAAAGCGTCACTAGCAAGTACCTGGCTTCCAGACGAAGCCCCCATATACTGCAAAATATATTCTGTTACAAGCATTAATAACCATTTGTGTTTTTTAGAATGTAATTTGTCGTCATTGGACCCTCTAAAATCTTATGTGGGCAAGCTTACAAAAGTAGTACCTACTAAAAGAGAGCAGCGGCTTACATGCGAAAGGAAAAGCAACCGGTATAATGAAAATGTACATTCAAGATAGTTTCGTAAAATTGAGAAGGTTTGTTAATTTTTTCGACCTTCGATTTGAAGACAAACGCATTACCTTGCTGAAGCAGGGATCCTAGGTTAGATCTGTTCCTGGTTGCATCATCCTGTTTTCGCGTCCTCAAACTATGATCACTACTTAACATTGGTTGTTTATTTGATCCTTTACGAATCGATTCCAGCAAAACTATGAACGTGCCCGAAAACTTTGTGTAGATGTTGCTGATTTTACCCGCTAGCCAGCACACACACTGACCCACTCACGGTTGTACCTCATATCGCTCGAGATAACACTCGAATACAATGCAGAACGAAATCTTTACACTCGATGCCGTTATGGTACGCCCGTATTTGTCGATTTAGCTTATCAGAACTCTCGTAAGCGCTCAAACAAATATGAAACCCATTTGTAAAATAAATAAACTACCTCCCTTAAAAAAATGTGTAGAGTATCTTCAACTTACCAAACGGTTACAGATCTTTTAGGTTCGTGGCACAATACTTGAAGGCCAAGCCAAGCTTTAACTTTGAGCCCTTCTAAAGTTTGGTTCTTGTGCCGTACCTTTTCGTATCCTATTGTATGGTAGTCCTTTACCCATTACAGCCCGTCGGCGTTGCATTATACGCGTACATATTCTTCGCTGACCGCTTCAAGCCATACAATCAATATGCATCATAATCAATACATCCTCTTTCATACTGCAAAAAAAAAAAAAAACTAAAAAAATGCTTAATTTTTGTGCTTTCCTTACGCATATTCTATGGTTGTGCGCGTTTGGCGAAACAACATTTGTTTATACTAAACCACTCGTTCCCTTTGCTATGGGTCATTTTGAGCTTTTTAACCTAACGTCTTCTCGCATGGTGTACATACAATGATTTGA